ATATATTTCGATATAATACGGTCTCTTCCGACCAGCCGGTCTCCAGATCCGGGAGAGGGATTTGAATTCGAAATGTATTCCTCACGAGCGACTCTAGAACAATTAACTTTCGAATAATGTGTTTCCATGCGGGGAACGTCGATTTAAAGACAAGAGCCTTTTTTTAAGTTGTAAAATAATTCCTATTCATAAGACAACAAGAAATGGGTTGAAGATTAAAGAGGCGCGCTAAGTACCCCTGGAAACTTCGTTAGATACTAAGATAGTTGAAATTTGATATGTAGAGGAAGAATCCCAGCATTTTCCTACATTTCATCGTTCTTGGACATGGTTTTAGATTATTATTAATCTATGCAAATGTCCAATGTTAGATCAATAAAAAAATTGGTCATGGATAAATTAACGTAATCTTTGAGACTTAAAAATGCACTATTTTGACGCTTGTAAGTTACATCACTGAGTTTCTATATGTATATATTACGTTCTAGTCATAAATTAATTATAAACACTTATATGTCGGAGATGATATTCTTGTTTATGTACAGTAAAATAAGTAAATGAGCTGTGAAAAGAATCCGATTAGCTTCTAGAATGGGCGTGAATGAAAGTTAAATGTCTTATCATATTATATCGCCATGTAGATATGATTATAAATATTTCTGAATGGCTTGTATCTTGTCAGTCGATTTCAGCTTTGATTAAAACCAAGTCAACTGTTGAAACACCTGGCCGTTATAAAAGGTAGGTCGAACATGTTATATCTTGACTGGTTTTGCAGAATTAATTTTATCTTGCTTTATATTTTTTTTTCGTTTTTCTTAGGAATAACCTTCTAATAAGTAGGTTATAATAGTCTGAGCAAGGTATTTTATTTGGTAGTGTAGACAAAACCATGGATTTTTGAAACAAATTGATTGAGACACCATATGACATATTTTAATTTCTAAACTCCACAAATTTAGAGACAATATATTTGTTGCTTGAGAAAGGGATCGGGTTTTGAAATTAAATTCAGGAAATTGCATGATTTTAAGAGAATTAATTTGACACTTTTTAATTTTGAAACAAAACAGATGAGTACGTTGAGATTTAGATATGAAATACTGGAACAGATGATGTTAGTACCCAAAAATACGTATTGATATCAATAATAAAGATTTAGAGTTTGGCATAATCAGAAATTAAGATCTTGACTGAGCAAGGCTATCGCGCTGAATGCATAGAACTAGGCATTCTACAATGCTTTCATGTACCCGGCAGTGGCCATGAAAAGTGGGGAAAAGTTTTTATTTGGGACAATAAATCTTGATTGTGGAGCAGATTACCACGTTTCAGATCATGTCACTCAGAAATTTGCAATTTTCCAGGAAGGTCCTAAACATTAAACGTAATTTCCAAGCCATAAAAATCTTCTAAGTAGCATTAGCCTGTAAAATAGGACAACAAAAAAGGCCTTCAGAAACATAAATACATTGGAATGATAAATCTCCTAGTCCACGTATTTCTGATTAATCCGATGCATGAAGAAAAAAACGAGACCTGAGGTTAAAAATGTACTTGAAGTGAAACAATGAAGTTTTCAGTATTTTGATAGAATTTTGTGACTCTCTCTCTCTCTCTCTCTCTCTCTCTCTCTCTCTCTCTCTCTCTGGGCGTTGCCAGCCAGCTTCCATAACTGTTTCTGTTAACGACCGCATCGCTTCCTATCTTAATTGTGATTGTTTGAAATTACATAAATGTTATCAGGCATCAGGAAAAATAGTTCCTTTGCTGATTTGTAGTTCTGCTTTGAAAATTGAACTTAATAGGTTGTAAAATTTCTTTCAAGTGGTAGATTCAGACTAAGACACAGATACAAGGGACTGTCAAATTATCTTTCTAACCACTCCTCCTCCAATCTCCCTCAATTAGCTACTGTAAAGGACTGTGTTTGTATGTCAATCACCTGCTGAAAAATAAAATTAAAGACAGTTTTATAAGACATATTTGACCTAGTCCTGAACAATAGCAATATATAATTTGCACTGCATGTAGAAATCATTCATTGAATGGAATTGCTTATGGAATATTTCCCTGATTTTATGAGAATTATTGATATATATCTTAAAGAACTGACAATGCATTTATTATTGTCTATCAAACTTGAGTTCTTCCTCCAAAGTAGATCAATAATTCACTTAGTATGCTACATTCAACACCACTGGCGATGCATTCTAAGTCGCCGTTAGTCTGCGATTCGATTAATTCTTCATTAAAAGATATGTAAAATGACCTGGCGAGTACTTCAAGACAGGAAAAGTTAAACACGACTAATAGAAATCTATCTTTGTTCACAAAATATCTAACCTGTCGCACGACAGGGCCAAAATTGCTCCATCAATTTAATAGCTTGTAATTTACTGCGACATCCGGGAACTTCTGCCAACCGCACTACCGCCTCGAACTAATGAAGGTTCTGCGCAATGTTTCTTTATGTTCACCAAAATTGTCAATGGGTGATTCTGTCATTCTAATAAAGTTTGACTGCTTTGATTCAATTAAAAACCTCTGTGATATTGATTTTAAATGAGTTAACATTGTTAAAAACACTGATAGTGTAGATAGACTCTGACATAAAGCATTTTATTGCAGTATCATGTAAATTAATTGGACAGAGAAAAATAGTCCTCGTTATTTTCTTTGGGATTAGAGCTGGGTGCACCCAAATATAATCTTTTATTTGACAAATGGAAAGAATTTTGTCGAATTATACCGTATAGCTAGTTCGGCATCACTGATTTAAAAATAATTCGTTTCTGCAAAAAATGGCGAGTTGTCAATGACATATCTTCAGATAAACGCACGTACTTTTCCAATTAAATAAAAATACCCTGTGAAAGAATCCTATATCTTTTTATCCGAAGCAACTGTTTATATCTAAATAAACTCTTCTATTTACGTTTCTTATGGTTTGAACGCTCATTGAGCATCAAAATTAAATCGCTACGAAACTGTTTCATATGTTAACCTGTTTGATAAAAAAGCCAATTTATCGTTGATGCAACTTAAATCATTTGGTTACAATTAAGATTATTTTTTTTTATTTCAAATTCCTTTGTGAATGTAAATTATAAACATTGCTAGGCATTTTAATGATACGGTAGCGCCAGGGTTTTTTACGAGAGTAATTACTTAGTTATTTTCCCGAACATTAGGGCACTGAAACCCGTTATTCGCTCCCTCGCCCATCAGGGAAGCTCACTTTAAAGAAATCTCTCCACTTTATCAGAGTCATACTACTTTTTTCATAAGAATCAATTTGGCTCTTACAGCGGTCTCGTTCATGTGCGTATGCTTTGAAATAAAATTACTGACTATAAATTAGAGCATCGCTTGTAAATTTTGACGAGCAATTACAAGCAGAATTTTTCTCGCGTGAATATGTACTTAACCATTTTATTTGAACTAAATTATTCTAACCTACCATAATTCAGATCATAAAAAATATTAATGCATTCCCCTTAACAAACGACGAAGACTCACGTAGTATAGATTTTTTATTGGATAAACCAGACGGTTCTAAAATTTGTCGCATCTTCAATGATTAATAAATACAACCAATGATTTTAACAGCTATTATGAAGGGAAAAAAAGCATTCTAAATTCAGATTTAAAATAAAGATAATTTCTTTTTGATTGGTCCAAGCAGAAATTTCGTTCGAAGAATCTCTTATGTGTTTCTTGAATTGCAGTTTATTGATATATGCCTTACTTCTTATTAAACCGTTATAATCGAATTACGTCATACAGCTGATACATATATATGAACCGATATATTAAAAAGAATTCTGAAGCGATGTAAATAAATTCAACCGCTAATAGATTAAGATGATCCAACCATAGAGATTATGGAAGATTTACGCTACAAAAATACGATATTTTGTTGGCGAAGCAGAGAGGGCGTTAACTTGGCTGTATGTGACACGTGACGTCGATAATGATGGTAAATCAAACAAACAACATCTCGGATAAATGCTACTATCTACAGCCACAGATGTTTAAAGTGGCAGAGAAAAGTTTTGGATAAAGTACCGTCAAAACTAGATTATTGTATATTGTGTGCATTTGGAGGGAACTGATGACTTTTTATATTTTATTGATATATAACAATATATAGTCCCTATTGACTAGTGATGGACTATGGATATGAAATACAAAGCTAAAGCCTAAAACATTCATCCAGAATATATATAAATTGTGTAGGCTCATAGACATCGGCCTACATTTTTTGTGGTAGCGCAGTGGCCTGCAAGCTATTGAAAACTGGTAAAATACTTGAAAAGAGACTTTATGAAAGTTTGTTCCCTTGTTATTATATGGGCTCAGTATGTAAGTTACACATGTTTATATCCCTATAGCTTCAAATTCTTCTCGTGACTAAAATAGTCATGTAGAGAGAATTCAAAACTTTCCAAATCATATTTTACATGCAGCTCAACATTAGGAGAACCTTATCCAAACTTTTTTGATTGAGAAAATATATTTTCTGGCACTTAACGATTACAGACCGGTTCTCAGGTCGCGCATAATTTAAACCGAGAGCTCTTCCCTGATGGTATTAACTTACAAAATTACTGCTGTACTCTTCTGATACTTTATTATTATTTAAGGAAATATAAAACAGTGAGAACCACTTTATCTAGTGATATAAGGTTAAGTGAGTAATTTCATTTGATGATCTTTTTTCCAACACCACTTTGTTTTGTATTTATGTATACAATACAGTTAAGTGTGCATCAGCAGGATATAGAATGAGCTCTTGATAATCTCATTGTTTTCCCTAAATTTGTTCTTCAGAAGACATCTTGTCTTACTCCACGTTTTCCTTAGATAAGACATTTTTAAGGGATATCGTTACAACATGCGACAAAACTGTTTCAAGGGCAAATATATTATATATGACAACAAAAGTCAATCATCATAAATTATTCTTTAATTATTTATCTCTTTTTCATTTCTAGGAAATACGGGTAGTGACTCCCTCAAACGAAAAACCCTGACACGCCATGTAAGGATTCGGATTCAAAACAACAAAGAACCACATCTAAGATCATTTTCTTGAATTTCGAGTCACACGCAAAGTAATCGCCAACATGGAGGGTTCCGAGGAACTTTTTTTCCCGAATATGTCGTTCCCTTTCCACCTCGCTTTTATGTATCCTTTCCCGGAGGCGTACTACGTAAATGGATTCGTTTCCCCCGTTCTAATTTTCTTCACTCTGGTGACAAATATCTTCGTAGTACTCATTCTTCTTCGGAGGCACATGCGCTCACCCACTAACGCTATCCTGGCTGCCATGGCAATTTCTGACACATTCACTGGAATTTCACCGCTTCCTGTATTCATTCACTTCTTTTCTCTGGAGAACTACGAGGAGTTTGTGGAATATCACTGGTGTTACCTCTACAGGTTTCTCGGCGAGCTTATTCCGACCATCTTCCACACATCCTCGATCTGGCTAACGGTGACGTTGGCCATTCAACGTTACGTTTACATCTGTCACACAGCTACCGCCAGAAGATTTTGTACCATCCAAAATGTCGTCATTGGATCTTTCATAATCTACTTTCTTGCCATACTGTCACATATTGCGCGTTTCTTTGATTTTGAATTCATCCCTTTTCCCATGTTTTCACCTAACGCACCAAACAACACAATTGTAACATGCATCGAGCAAATTACTCCGTGGGTCGTCCAAAATGAGGACTTGTATTTCAATCTCTACTTCTGGTTCCGGGCGATTTTCATTCATCTTGTCCCATGCACTATCCTAGTGGTGATAAACTCGATACTCATATGGACACTTCGAACAGCTCAAAAACGAAGAATGCAGCTTCTTAAACAAAACAAAAGGAGCGAATCCATGAAATTGAAGGATAACAACTGTACAACCCTAATGCTGGTATGCGTGGTGGGCTTGTTTTTACTTGTTGAGTTACCTCTGGGTATAATTGTGATTTTGCATCTCATCCAAAACAATTTTGAACTTAATTTCATGTCAAGCGAGACATTCAAATTATTGTCCCTAATTTCAAACACATTTATTTTACTATCTTATCCGCTGAATTTTTTCATTTATTGTGGAATGAGCCGCCAATTCAGAGAGACATTTATGGGAATGTTTGCAAGGTTTTCGATACCAATAAATAAGGAATGTTCGAATTACGCATCTATTCCTTCAGAGAATGGAAAGAACAACGCTGAAACCACAAGGGAAACCATGTTGTGAAGGGTGTCAGAAATTAAATGTGTTAGAAGGAATTATTATTCAGATGTGCAAGTCTGCCAATGTTTTATAGGCCAAGTAGTAACCAGTCAAGAAATGCACCTTTCCGTGTGAAATGATGATTCGATGCTTCTAACACTTAGCGTAGAATGCGTACATTTAGATATGTATTTTTAGATGAATATGTACATGAATTATCAAGTAAAAGAAAAAAAAAACTGTTAACAAAACGCAAAGTTGACGTAGTAAGATCAAAAAGTCAGTCGTGAATAGTTAAATATCTATATAGTGATGTAAATTCGTAATGTATGTAAAACTTGTAATTAAAAACATGAAACGTTTTTGCTGTTGTTGGAGTTTTATTGTTTAATCCAATATTTTATTATGTTAAATCAGTGTCATTTGATTGTTCACTTTCAAACACAGCTTCCAGAAGTTTCAAAAAAAAAAAACAACAAAAACAAAAAACAAAAAATATTAATTTACAAGGATTGCATATTACAGGAAAACTATGGCACACAGATGCCAGTTTATTAACTAAAGATTTCAATGACAACCTTCAATCGCTAACAGAATGAAATGTTTTAAAGGCAGGTACACAGGATGGAATTTGTAGCATAATACTTCCTTGTATACGCGCTTATACTTATTGAATAGACTGAAATAAAGCTAACTTTTGAATAATATTTGTTTGCCTTCTCCCGTATCTAGAAGAAAAAATTCGATCGGTAGGTAGATAAGAATTTTTTTCCTCAGAAAATTTCACTCTCAATGCTGAATTTTTAATTTTTTTCCCCTTAATACCAAAAGAAAATGATAATTGATTCCTAAAGGTAAAAAAAGTTTTGAGTCGGTACATATTTAGTCGGTCGAGATAGGGCATGCAAACAATGTTTCAAAGGTGGTCCGAGGTATTTCCACGTGTTTTTCCCGCCATTCTATTATTATCTGTCATATTTTTTTATAAAACGCTTGAAAATAACAAGAAAAAAGATTGAATAAACAATATGTTTCTAGAATTCGGTTGGTAAAAATTTTTAGAACATGTAAACTCTCTTCCTGTTTCTTTTTTCAGAGCCGAGCTTAATCATAGTATTGTATTATTCTTCCCACAAAACAATTAGTTTTTCTAAAGTTTTTTTTTAATTCGGCCATTTTTTACAATGTGCTTTTTTAGTAATGATAAAAATAGGATGACTGCAAATGTGATTGATTGACCGATTGCATATTTTTTAAGGTCCCTCTCGAGAATTTTTCAATCATATAGAGATGCCACCACTTGTGGTGGAGACCTACAAATTTTGTCCTATACTCGGCACTTAGGGCCATTGAGAAGGGAGGGATCTTTTTCGTGCTAGCACCTACTGCGACACGGGGCCTCGGTTTATACGGTCTCATCCGAAGGACCGGTCTCCACGTCCCACAGTGGGATACAAACCCGTGACGTAAGGATCAATTCCTTTCTTTGCGACTCTCTACAAGTGTGAGTACATTTGATTGGTTGAATGGTAAGTTAAGACGGTATTAAAAATATAGCATTGCTTTATTCCTAATGAAATATACTGAGATAATACAGATTAATGAGATTTGAAAATCTCTTGACACACACTGCATTTAAAGTGTAAAAACAGAAAGATTTTATTGTAACACAAATATTACCTCGTTAACTGGCCTAGATACTGCGTATCCCATAGAAGATTCCACTGAAAACCAAGACATTAAACATTTTCTTGAATTGCAGTTACTTTGACGGATGAAGTGATTTAATGCACATAAAATAATCACTGTTCTGAATGAAAATGGTAATAACGAACAGTATTCAAGGTAAAAAGTCCCTAAAACAATGCAAAATAGAGCAAACACAGACCTCCAAAACAACAGAGGTGGGATCAGGTGCCATGGAGGAGTGAGCATCCCCTGCTGACGGGTCACAACCACCGTTTTCTCTTTGTCATTAACGAGAAATAACGGAAAAAACCGTCGTCAATTCAATGTTTAAAAAATGCAGTCGCAATTGGTATGAAAAACGTCCGTCAGCATTTGACTCAATGATAAATTGTATTTGCTAAGAGGACATAGTATCCACCATAGAACGTACAAAATGATCACATTGAATGAGACTGCTGATATTCTTGTTTCCTCAACTTGATTGTCGATAATTTACCTTGTTTTAGAAATTGTACATACGTAGAGCATCCTCTTTCGTATCGAATCTACTGAGTGATTAAAACTCCGTATGCTGGTGATATTGCTGCATAAGCAAGGGAAGCTGACGGTTGAAAAGTTAAAGTCGTCACGTTTATCATGGAGCTTGGTTGTTAGATTACCATTAACGTCTTTTTCAAGTAAAATACTAGTACCCAAATATGAAACAGATGTGTCAGACTTTGTTGTATCTTTTATCTCAAGCTCACTGGGATATATCGTATCGACATAAGAATGGAAATAACCATTGTTAATTGACAATGTGTCGTCTATATATCTAAATGTCGAGTTGAAACACGCAATCAGTACCCATGGGAATTCTTATGCATAATGTTATGTTGTCTTATCTGAATTCACATACATCTTCACAGTTGTACAATTTTCTACAGTAGATAATGCTGTGTACATGGCCGTTTACTTGACCCGACTTTAATCAGTTGACAATGGTTGGGGTCAATCTTTCCAGTTCTTAAAATAAAATGTATGATAACAATGAACAGTATTCAAGTTCAAAGATCTGTTCAAACAATACAGATCATGAGCGGAACAAATAAGGATATCTAAAATATTAGAAGTGGGATCAGGGGATCAGGTGCTATGTAGGAATCCCCTACCGTTAATGTCATGATCGAGAAATAACGGAAAAATCCGTCGAAAATCAATGTGAATTCAATAAGAAACACTTAACATCTTCACAGTTGTACATCATTTTCTACAGTATGTATCTGATAAAGATTTATTGCTGCATATGAAAAGGAGGTTAAAGATTGAAAAGTTAAATGTCATCACTTGTATCATAAAGCTTTGCTGTGAGGTTACCATTAACGTTAAATATTCAAGTATAATTGATTGATTGTATGTTGTTTAACGTCCCTCTCGAGAACTTTTCACTCATATGGAGACGCCACCACTTGCCGTCGGAGAGCTACAAATTTTGTCCTATACTCGACACACATGGCCATTGAACAGTGAGGGATCTTTTTTGTACCTGCACCTACTGCGACACGGGGCCTCGGTTTATACGGTCTCATCCGAAGGACCGGTCTCCACGTCCCACAGTGGGATTCATTCAAGTACGAAACAGACTCACTTGGATATATCGTTTCGACATATGAATGGTAATAATCATTGTAATTTGAAAATACGACCTTGATATATCTGAATGTGTCGTTGAAGGCCATAGTGAGTGTTTTTTTTTTCTTTTGCATATAATTTTTTAACAAATTCTACTCGTCTGAGGAATAAGTCTGGTTATAACGGGGCGCAATTGGTCATCAAAGCGTTCTTTTCCTGTGGATGATACTGATGTCACTGATAATCTGTATCGCTTCTTAAAAAAGGTAAATATTGCAAAGTGTGAAATGCAAAAGACGACAGTAAGCATTGTCTATGTAAAGCCTCCAACGAGCTAGCTTCAGATGGAAGATGAAAACCTTGAGAAACTCATCTCGTGCAATAACAAGACATGCATGCAAATTAAGCTAATAACTAATTTTAATCAATCGCACTTTAAAAGCATTTGACACTTTCAAGAATATGAAAATGAACAGTCATTTTGAAAATGATAATCCAGGGGATGGTAACAAAAATAAAATTAGAAACTTATGACAGTAAACAGGTAGTAAAAATGATGATTAGAATAATATATAGATTGTTGACGATGAGAAAGTAGAGAACATAGACAAAGAAAAACTTACAGAGTGATGACAATGAACACAGAGTGATGAAAGACAATGAACAATTAGTGAAATAGCACAACGTACAGGTAATGATATGTGACAATGAACAGATAGTGCATTGTGACGATGAAAAGATTGAGATTGATGACAATAGAAGTTAGAGAATAATAAAACAAACAAGTAAGTGGATGTCATCAATGAAAATGAGAGTTATCAAGATGAAAAAGTACAAAAGTATATGACAAAGGAGAATTTAGATGAAAATCTGAAATACTGAGTGGTGACAATGATAACGAATGGACATTAGAAAAAAAAAAGTTGGTGATTCTGTTGTCCAAGAAAAATTTGACAATGTGTAGTAAACGAAGACAATATAACAGTTAGTGAACGAGAAATGTGACATGGTAGGAAATTTTGAGACGGAATGATGGTGATAATTAAAAGAATAAAAATTTAAAAAGTGATAAGAAAAAAGAAAATAACTATATCAATGATCAGGTAGAGAATTGTGAGGATAACTATGTTCGGTTAGAGAACAGAGACAAATATACAAGGGTCGTTCAATAAGTAATGCAATTCACAGTAAATCATACTAAATGTTAAGTCATTATATTTGATTTTCTATATTTGAAAAGTTCTATTAAAGAGCTCTGAAACACAGAAAATTTCACGAATTTTCATATTGTCTTCGCTGAGAAATTCACTTTTAAAGTAAGCATAGTCACTACACTGGACTGAAAACTGTTTATAAATGATCTCTGTCAAGAAGATGAAAATAAGAGTGTACTTGAAAATTGGGTATTTTACACAAATCGCCGAAAACCTCAAATTATGATATGATTTTTTATATGTAGAAAAAATTATCTTTTACGCTGTTTACTTTTTAGATGGATTTAATAATTCAGAAGAAAGAAAACGAGTTCAAATATACTAGTATAACAGTCAATGTCGTCAATTGAAATTTGTGAGGACACCAAAAATTATTGACTTTATGTACCACATGAAATTTGAAAATCCAATATTTACATGTAAAGATATTGTTAAGATAATAATTATTTAATCTTCACAGCATTGTGTAGAATTTTGACAAAGGAAAAATATATATTTTCCATCAGATATGTGCCCTTTTTTCTCACAAATGCCCAAGACAGGAGATTCGTTAAATGTACCAAGTTGAACGGTCTATTTAAAAAGAAATGTTTAAACAAAATAGAAGATTTGATAAACTTGCTCAATTAGTATATGACGAAATATAGGTGCACTTTTTATGGCCGTAAAAGGTGTCATGTAATTATGATAAAAAGAAGCAATGGCTCCAAATATGTTTTATTAGTTTTCGTGTATTTAAAGAGGACAATTAAAAATCTGCATACATCCAAATGAAGGACTAGCAATGGTCAGTTTTATGTTCAAATTGCACAAAGGATTTCCTGCAAAGGAAGTCGAAAATTCGGTGATCAGGGTATATTTTTCTTGGGCCTGACAACGCAACTGGATATACGCTCAGAGAAACTGTCCCAAGTTATGTTATATCGTATAACATAAGTTGAAATAAGCTTCATTCCTTAAATATATTTTCACTGTAATACGTATCTTAATTAAAACAGAAGAGCATGTCTTCAGAAAAATGCCTATTTAATCTCTGCATCTTTTAAACATTTAAGTACCAGAAAAGGAAAACATGTCTGCTCTTTTCACTTGTTATAAACTTGAATGTTTTGGACTTTTTAGATTGTAGTAATTGTTAATTAAAATGCAATTGAAATTCTTGTCTTTCATTAAACTTTTCAGCTTCATTATCATAAAACCACATAAAATAATATTTTTAACATGTTTTTTTTTTCTATATTAATTTTATTTTTTAATAAAAATGACATATATAGTTCAAATTCTCAAAGGTAAATTTCTACCAGTGAAGTTCGTGTAGACATTTTGTCTCAATAAATATTTCATTTTTTTCAAGCGCAATGCACTGGAAACATTTACAAAAAATTGTTTACTAACTTTGTCCCTTGCGAGTATTCTGTAAGCTAAATATGACTCACATGCGTATATATTATACTTTCATGTAAATTAGTTGAATCTGATTGGTCGAGAAACATTTGTTAAAAAACACTAGTACCCGCTGAATAATGAAGTCACGCCCTCCAGCGTAGCAACAGTCAACAGTGCTTGACGAAAGGTAATATTCCAAACAATAGCGACAGCGCAGACTTTGTGCGCGCACGGTTCACTGTTATATGTATTTGTGTAAAACATTCAGTATAATATACTAGTAATACAATCTATACCTAATTCTAGAAGACCTTCTACAGTAGTTGCACAATAGTTAAATCACAATGATGAACAAAAAATACGAAAAATACAAGGGAAGGTATTACAAACATGTTAAAATGAATTTTACATGAACGACACATAAGTGCAAAAACATGCATGTAGACACAGTATAAAAATCCATAAATGTCTTAAAATACACAAAATAAGCACAGATTTTGTCATCAGTAAATAGAGAAATGTTATTGATATGTTTAAAACAATTATTAATTTTTACATTTACATTTCTGACACCCTGCAAACATTCCCATAAATGTCTCTCTGAATTGGCGGCTCATACTACAATAAATGAAAAAATTCAGCGGAAAAGAGAGTAAAACAGATGTGTTGAAAATCAGTGACAATAATTTAAATGTATCGTTTGACATAAAATTAAGTTCAAAATTGTTTTGGATGAGATGCAAAATCACGATAGATAATACCCAGGGGTAATTCAACAAGTAAAAACACGCCCACCACACACACCAGCAGGAGGGTTGTACGGTTGTTATCATTCAAAGTCATGAATTCACTCCTTTTGTTTTGTTTAAGAAGCTGCATTCTTCGTTTTTGAGCTGTTCGAAGTGTCCATATAAGTATTGAGTTTATCACCACTAGGATAGTGCATGGGACAAGATGAATGAAAATCGCCCGGTGTAACGTTGAATATTGACCCGTGTTGAAAATTGACCCGGGGGTCATTTTTCAACGTTGAATATTGAACCGGGGTCATTTTTCAACGTTGAATATTGAGACCAAAAGTGTGAATTTATACCCGGGGTCATTTTTCAACAGCTTGATATTTTTTTTTCTTACACCTGATGACGTCAACAAGTTGAAAATTGACCCTGTTGAATATTGACCCCACCTCAAAGTTTGAACATTTTTTTTAGCTGGGAAGTTGTTTTACGGGATTTATCAGCATCACTTTATTTATATTTCGGTTTCAATTTTTTCCCTTTTCAAGAATAATAGAAATAAACATACAGTATCACCCCGTGTATACATGTACATTTTGAACAGTGCACGATTTCAGTTATCTTCAAGCATAACAACTTTATTTTTGACAATACTTTCCAAAATCCATGGCATCCATAAATAACTACATAACAACGAATAGGGCATAAAACAAAAATCTTAAAAATCTGCAGTCTAGAAAGTAGCCCTATATTAATTGATCAGGTGGGTGGAACATCCCATCTAGTCAAATTCAGTATAAAAGTAACAAAATTTATAGCCTAAAAATTAGAATGAAACACATCGACGAAAATGATGCCAATGATAGGTTATATTTGTGAAAAGAGCAATATAGCGACCATAGCATGTAAGTAATGCTGACTTTACCAGAGTGAAGAAAATTAGAACGGGGGAGAAGAAACCATGAACGTAGACGCCTCCGGGAATAATTTGTTGAAATCCCTGTAACAATTAACTTATTTGTCAGTAGACTGTCTCGGCTTGAAAATTGATCGCTTTCGGACCATAAACTTGAGCATGAGATTATTCTTATTTTAAAAAATTCTTATTCTATGGAATGTGATTCTATTTGATTCTTGTTATTTCTATTCCATTATTTGTAATTTGTATTCGATAAATTGCTATTCCAATTACAGGAAATGTGACATATGATTCATATATCATAAAATTTACATATTTTTTTCTCGAAAACACGCGTTTCCTATTCGATGTCGTTAATATTCAAAACAATCGGTTGCTAGTCGCTAATTTTGTCATTCCTATTCGATTTATTTTATTTTTTTAATTCGATAGTTATTTGGTTTATATGCAATAAAGTTGTTGTTCGAAAACATACTAGCATCCATTTCTATTCGAAAAAATACGATTCCTTTCGATAAACTTTTCATCTTATTTACATAATTTTATCTCTATGATCTCCTATGATTTTAAATTAATAAAATGTTTTTTTAAAATTCTTTTTCAATAATTGTCATGATTGCATTCTGGGAAATATGACAAATTAAACTAGAATTGGTTGTAAACTCAATTAAATAGGAATGTAAAGTTACACATTATTATCGAATATAAATCATTTTATCACATAGATTGACAAAACAAAAGAACGAGGGCGCTTTTGATGGGCATTCGGCAGGAACCTGGGCGTAATTGAAAAGTGAAAATTTTATTGACATGTCACATGAAATTTTAACATTTTTTCAATTTATCGGGTTCCTGTGCAATAACACGGAAAATATTTTCCCGAAATTGAGCTTTGATTTGCTAAAAAATAACTTGAAAATTGGCCATATCAGACATTTGGTACAAAATTGTACATTTTGAAACACATTTTTCTAAAAATTTTCTATGTCTGGGTCTTCTCTCCATGGTTTTAGTTGTGTGTATTTTAATTCAAAGAAACGATTACACTTTTTTAAAAAATGGAGAGAAGACGCAGAGACCACGAAAAATGAACTTTTCCCCCAAAAATCCAAATGTGTCAATGTGGTGCGTCTTTGTCCTTTTAAAGACGTTTGTATATGTGTAGCGGTGATAGCTCAGAAAGTTAAGCTACCTGTTCAGTGTACTCGAAGCTAAAGGTTTTTGGTTCGAGCCTGGCATGGGGCGTTATTTTTTTTTTATTCGGGCAAGCAACCATTTATTTTGTCAGTTTCGTTTTATGTACTGATGTATTAAAATTTTGAATTAGATAAATTTTGGTTCATTTTGGTTCTCAAGCGAAATCAATTCTAATCTTCTATTTTATAATGTACATGTACACGTATCATGCATCTACATGTATGCATTAAATATATTTTAGGTTTTATTTTTTGTGAAATATTATGTTATAGTACCCCCTAGAAAAAAAATGACATAAATGTAACAATTCCACAATGTCTTTCAAATTAAATGAAACAAAAAAACCATCTTCTTTGAAAATTTTGGGAATAAGGCACAAGTTTTCTCTCTTCAAGACTTAGAGACTAGGGATCAGCATAAATTAAGCTGTTGCTGTTTAATATTTAATAAATGTGTTTCGTTTTATACATTGATGGAGTAATTATAGAGGATTTAGTTATTCAGAATGCTAATTTGATTATTTGATTATGTCTCGTATCAATTTTTGACAAAGGTATCCAATATGTTTTAATATAAAGCACATGTAGATCCTAATTCAAGACTTCAAGGCATTGTTAAGTCTCATCAATTACGGAACATTAAAATATATTAATACAAGTTGTAGTAATTTTTTTTCAGAAATATCAAGTCATATACTCTGTATTATCTTTAATTGAGAAATCAATACTATTTCTGTTTTTACAAAAAATTATCTCCATTTTAACACTTGTTCTATGAAAAAAAGTAAGCGGGGGGGGGGGGGGGTGTCACTCACTTTAATGAAATTTTCTAAAAGGACTCCTGCAATATAGCATATGATCACAAGAAAAAAAAACATAAAGTCAATATGCATTTCAGATTCTATGAATAGTAATTCAAGTCTTTATGCTGTTATATACTTAATCATGTGATCAAGTCAGAGAGCTTAGAATAAAAGGTGATATCACCTATTTGAATAAGTGCTATCACCTATTCGTAATGGTGATATAACCTATTTGAGTTTCTTACAACAGTCAATAATGAATGCTCCCTGTAATACATTGTATATAGATTAACACTGGAACCAAGAAAATTCGGACTACCCAGTTTTCATGCGTTTTCTACGATTTTCTTGTTGATAACATGATATATAAGTGAAATAAATTAATTTGTAAGCAAAAAGAAACTACAGCTGTTTGATGGGAAAAGGTGATATCGCCCATTCGAATAGGCGATATCACCTTTTCGAATTGGTGATATCACAAATTCAAATCAAATAGGTGATATCATCTATTGGAACAGGTGATATCACTTATTCAAATAGGGGATATTACTTTTTGCAGTAAATACCAAAACGGGGCCTCATACCTATGAATTAAGTCACAGTAGTGAAAACCCAATCATAAATATGTGTTTTTATGCTGTTGAATTTTGAACCGGTTTCATGATCAAAATTCAACGACCCGGCTCAGTTTTCAACGGATTAGGGTCTAAATTCAACACCTTTAATCTCAGTATTCAACGTTGAAAAATGACCCCCGGGTCAATTTTCAACCCGGGTCAAAATTCAACGTTACACCGGAACCAGAAGTAGAGATTGAAATACAAGTCCTCATTTTGGACGGCCCACGGAGGGAATTGTTCGATACATATTACAAGTGTGTTGTTTGGCGCAATAGGTGATAAGACTGGAAAAGGGATGAATTCAAAATCAAAGAAACGCGCAATATGCGACCACAGGTGCTTGAGGACAGGACCCCCCCCCCCCCCATATAGACCCCCGGGCCTGTTCAACTTTTTTTCACATAAATTATACATGGATGACACATTTGTGATAGAATCTATCCTATCAATTCAGAAAATTTGCTTAAACTTACATTTTATAAAAATATCTACCCTCTCTATATATAAATTCACAGGTGCTTGAGGACAGGACCCTCACAGGTGCTTGAGGACAGGACCCCCCCCCCCCCAAAGAAATATAGACCCCCGGGCCTGTTCAACTTTTTTTCACATAAATTATATATGGATGACACATTTATGATATAGTCTATCCTATCAATTCAGAAAATTTGCTTAAACTTACATTTTGTAAAAAAAAATATCTACCCTCTCTATATATAAGTTGATTTTTATATAGAGAATGTAGGGTAGATTTAATAGAACGTTTGTTTTAGGTAATTTTTCGATTTGCTGGTATAGATCTTATCACAAATATGGCAATGACAGATTTTTTATGAGAAAAAAATCGAAAAAGCCCAGGAGTCTATATCGAAGGGGGGGGGGGGGGTCCTGTCCTCAAGCACCTGTGTATGCGACAGTATGGCAGAAAAAAAGATTATGAAAGATGCAATGACGACATTTTGGATAGTGCAAAATCTTCTGGCGGTAGCTGTGTGACAGATGTAAACGTAACGTTGAATGGCCAACGTCACTGTTAGCCAGATCGAGGATGTGTGGAATATGGTCGGAATAAGCTCGCCGAGAAACCTGTAGAGGTAAAACCAGTGATATTCCACAAACTCCTCGTAGTTCTCCAGAGAAAAGAAGTGAATTAACACCGGAAGCGGAGAAATTCCAGTTAATGTGTCAGAAATTGCCATGGCAGCCAGGATAGCGTTAGTGGGTGAGCGCATGTGCCTCCGAAGAAGAATAAGAACTACGAAGATATTTGTCACCAGAGTGAAGAAAATTAGAACGGGGGAAACGAATCCATTTACGTAGAACGCCTCCGGGAAAGGATACACAAAAGCGAGGTGGAAAGGGAACGACATATTAGGGAAAAAAAGTTCCTCGGAACCTTCCATGTTGTCGAGGATTTTGCGTGGGACTTGAAATTTAAGAAAATGATCTGAAGTATGTCTCTTTCTCTCTTGTTTTAATTTAAATAAACGTAATATCTATATGTCACGTCAAAGTATTTCACACGATGACGTCAATATTTCCTAAAATATAAAAAATTAAATAATTAGCAAGCAACAGTATAAAATTCGAAGTAGATCTTTTAATCAAACGCAATTTATGATAATTAAAGTAGTCCGATCCCCAGGTTTATAAAACTAGCAGTTAAGTAATCAAAAATACTCAAAAAAGTATATCTATATGAATCAACAAAGTTATGTAAATTTATCCACAGTATTTCTTTACAGTTAAAGATAAAAATTAATCATATTATTTAGGGAAAATTGTCAAATCTCCAATATTTTTGCAGAAAATAACAGCAATGCATTTTCTAATTGCCCAAATATATTTCAGTTTAAAAAACGATAGGTATTCAGGCATTTAGAGAAATTGTCATGATTTTTATACTTATTTGGTATTTCTTGTCTTCTGTTTCCGTCATGTATTCTATAATACATAGTGTAAAAGGCTTTTGCTATCATTGCAAGACACCACAAGTCACTTCTTATTTCATTTCATGCTAATAAGCATTGGTATCTAAGGCTGAATTCAAGGAAATATCAAATCGTACTTACGGCACACTTTCTGATGATAATCTTGGTTAAAGTTCACTTTCCACGGATACAATTATTCAATATCACATTTTAATGTTTATATTTATAAAATTCCGGTTTACCAAGAAGACTACACTACTCTTATTTTTCATAAAAATCCCTACAAACAAAAGCACATTGTCGGGTCTAGGAAATCCTTGAACAAGGCCTTCCTTTCTGCTCGAAAAAATCTCTTGGTGCTAGAAAGAAAAAACTTCAGACGTACTTGAATACCGTATAAGTAGAATTTTTAGCGAGGATTTAATTTTGGCATTTTAGCGAGGGTCCTGAGATCGCTAAAATTAAATATCGGTAAAAATCAATGGCATTATATTTGCAATAGCTTCTTTAGTAAGCATTTTAAAATCGCTAAAATTACCTTTCGCTAAAAATAAATTACCATTTTTAAGGAGAAATCGCTAAATTTCCGTCTCGCTAAAATTTTCACTTATACGGTATTCAAGAACTGTTGAAAATAATTCTTTATGGTCCAAAACCAAGAAAAAATTTTAAAATTTCAAAATCATGAAATGTTTATAAGAATATTTAAACCGCACCCTATATTAATTTTAATTTCAATACAGTCATTTCTGAAGATGAAAGTTGATGTTTTGATATTATATAAAATTGCTTCTTCGATATAAGCAGAACTGCTTCTTCGATATAAGCGGAAATTTTAATAACACATCAATGAAATGATTTTGAAAGAGTCTCTCATTGCAGATACATGTATTAGGTCATGACGTGATGTGAAAGACTGTGGTATCTTTTATTTCATTCTCACCGGAATATATTTTATCGATATATCCCCTAAAAATCAATTTTTTTTAGATTGATATTCAGAATATTATTTTAATTATGTATAGAAATAATTATATTAGAAATATTTCCAATACATTTTTGCTTCGGCACTTAGTGGCATCAAGAAAATTCTTTTTCATCATTCATCAGGGGGGTGTTCTTTTCTTTGCAATCCAACCGAAAGAAAGAAAAACCAGAAGTATGCCTTTTTTCTCATGTTCTTTTTCTAATGGGAACCTTAAAATGCAGAATTGAACATATTAATTTTTCGATCCGTCAGTAATTAGTATTGGATAGATGTACAGTGGACCTTCAGATATCCGGACGCCAGATATCCGGATGCTTCAGTATCCGGACGATTTTTCATCGGAGCGGAATTTTTAAACTTTATTATGTTCTGTTTAACTGGTGATTCAGGTATCCGAATGCTTCACATATCCGGACAAATTGACTGGGAACCAAAGCGTACGGATAAATCAGGCTCCACTGTACATCTTTGATAAAAAATTTAAGTGATTAGCGGGCTAGGGTCACGTAGTCAGCTGAGCGGATCACTTGTATTTCTCTTCCCACGCTGCCCACAGTATTTATGAAATACCCGGTACGTATATTTTGAAGACCCGCAACCGACCCTGAAGTCCTACCTCTCGCATTTTTATTCATTGCATAAGATGGATTCTTGTAATTATGAATTTAGCTCATTTTGTTTTTATGTGCCATCCATTTTGTTTTGAAGTGCCATCTTTTTGCTATATTTTTCTTAAAATATTTGATCTTACTGTTTTAAAGGAATGTTTTCTAGTCATTGGGGGAGGGGGGGGGGTGGGGGTGTTCAGACATTTTTTTTATATTTTGCGTAATTTCAATAGGAGCCTGCGAGTCTGATCCCCATTTTTTTGTATAAAGTATTTTACTTCATACCGTCATTTAAATAAATGATATTATTCATCTCTGTGAATGTGTTTGAGTTAATCTTTAGCAAACTAAGCAAAAACCAGCTGCGGTGAGCCTGCCGAGCATTTGAAGACATAAAAACAGTTTGGTTCGACGAGTCAATAGACAAACCTTGCCCGAGAACACAAAAATAAACATTTTGTTATACCTATAACTTTTTAGTTTGCATGAAAGATATAGAGATAACGACAGTATTCAATATCAAAGTCTATAAAACAATACAAAATAGGAGCAGAGCAAACGCTGTCTTCATAAACATCAGAGATGGAACCAGGTGCCATGGAGGAGTGAGCATCCCCGACCGGTCACACCCGCCATTTGCTCCTTGTTATGATCAGGAAATAACGAAAAAATCTGTCGTCAATTCAGTGTGTCATAAATAATGACCTTACAATTAGTATGAAAAACGTCAGTCAGAATTTGACTCAATGATAAATTGCATTTGTTGACAAGGTCATTGTATCGACCATAGAACTTACGAAATTATGACTTTAAACAAGACTGCTAATATTCTTGTTTCATTGACTTGTTTGTCAATAATATTTCTAGTTTCAGGAATTGTCCATACGTAGAGCATGCTCTTGCGTATCGAATCAACTGAAATATGTGAGGTTTTTCTCTTGATTTAAGTATAATGAACATATAACGTCTACATAAAAAAAAAAAAATTCAAACGAGGGAGAGGGAGGGGCGCACGCTCTGGATCCAAAGAACTATATGCGGTATATTGCATACATTTGCCCCCACAAAAGTCAAATTTTGAAAACTTCCTGAAATGTGCTGAATTCAATAAATTGTATGAGAAATATAAATTAACAGAAAATATTATAGTGCCAAAGCATTGTATTCACAATTTTTGTTTTTATGACGTCACAAACTAGTCCGATTTTATATCCTTTTTCAGAAAGAGGACAAAATGGACAAAATTTCAACAATTGTAGCTTTGAAATTTATAGAGCGCAAGTTTGTTCCGGAACAGTATTGACATATTTCATTGATATTATCATTCTACACATTATATCAAAATATTGATCCTGAACACACATGCGCCCGGTGACTTTTACTTAAAATATCGACCAAATATGTACATTTTTCTGTAAAATTCATAAAAAATGTGAAAAGTTTACAGACGGACAGACAGACGGACGGACAAAATGTGATCAGAAAAGCTCACTTGAGCCTTCGGCTCAGGTGAGCTAAAAACCGAAATTTACGTCATGTTTGTGACGTCATTACGTACATATGGCGTCATTACTTGTGAAAATGTTCAGTGCTTTGAAGTCAGCATATACTCCCCTGTTTAAGAACATAATTAAATATATCTCCATCAAAGTTTGATTTGGGGGGCAAATATTGGATATTACTGAATAAAGTTCTTTGAACTCAGCATCTTTTAACCATAAATTTTAAAGTACCTCTCTGTACTTTCATAATTTTTTTAATAATAATAATAATTTTGCAAAAAAAGCAATGACAAGTTAAGTAAGTGTCATACAAGGAAAACATGTTTGCCTTTTTCACCTTTTACAAACTTAAAGGTTTTGAACTTTTTATTTTGTAGTAATATTACTTAATTGAATTATAATTCTTGTCTTCTTTTTTTTGGACTTTAAAGCTTAATATTTTATTATAGTAAAACACATAAAAATATTTTTTCATTAGTTTTATTTTTTCACTACTAGGTAAAAATGACTTGTGTTGTTCAAAAAACCAAAGGGTAAATTTCTACGAGTGTAGTTCATATATGCAATGAAAAACAGGGGCATTTTTTCTCAAGAAATATTTCAATTTTTCAAACGCAATGCATGAGAAACATTTACAAAAAAATGTAACTTTGTCCCTTACAAGTATTCTGTAAGCTAAATATGAGTCATCTGTGTGCTTTTAATACAATCTTAAACTCTTACTAGTAGATCTTCTAGTTGTATAATACCGGGTATTTGAATCACTAAAATGAACAGAATACAAAATTCAAGAGAAGATATGACAAAGATGTGACTATGAATTATAGATGAGCTGCACAAACATAGATACAGTACATTATTTTTTTCTAAATAACAGTCTTTATATGCACAAAAATAAGCACAGATTGTATTATTATAACATAAAGAAATATTATTGAATTTTTTAACAATCATTATATTTATAGTTATAGACGACATTAATTGAATTTTTTGAAAATTCAAGTGAACATGAATTATAATGTTTCATATCATAAAATACAGAAAACACAAAAAAATGTAGTTCATGCACCTTATGAATTTTGTATCGTTTTCTTTATAAACTAGCAAAATATCTCCAAGAGCCTTATTTTTACATACATACAGTGATTAAGTTAGGAAACTATTCATTATGAAATTGTCACTTTAAAAAAATCATATTTCTGTAGGGCCATCTTTAAAATAAGGTTTGCTTGCCTCCCCCCAACTCAGGGTAAAATTATTTGGTCGGTAGATAGACTGAAAAATCTTCTTTTTTTTTTTTACTCAGAAAATTCTTGTTGGTGGGATAGGAGGAATAAAACAAGAAATTATTGTGTCCTGAAATTAAAGAAAAACTTGAGTCAGCCATTTTTAGTTGGTCAGTCGGGAGAGGGAAATCAAGCAATTTTTTAAAGATGGTCTAGTTTACTGACATTTTGATGGGTCATAATTCTGTATGTGGAAGATACTGGAATCTAGGGATTTCCTATAAAAACAGCAATGTCTCTAACTACAACCCATTTACAAACACAAAATAATAAAGACAAATCTCCATCATGAAACTGATTCAGTGTTTTTGAAATTTCATTGCATATTTCTATGGAAGTATTATTTGGCATTATGTTTTCTTTTTTGACAATGGCCTTATATTCTTCAGATAACCAAGGAACTTATACCTAGCTGATGATATCAATGAAAAGAATGATTTCTCTATCTCTCTTTAACACACACACATACACACCCTCCCACTCTCTCTCCCACACAGATGGAGGCATGATAATTATACTGACATTAATTTATGAGGTTTAATACTTGAAACAAAACAGGATATGTGAAAGAAATCAATCATAAATATGCTAAGAAGAAATTCACGACATCTATTAAATATCAACATTAATAAAAATTTATATTTTCGTTAGAAAAACACTAGGGCTGAGGACTCCTTATTAGCTTACTGTAGTTCAAATAATTCTTTCAGTAAAAAAAATAAAAATAGCGTAAAAATAGAAATAGTGCATATTAAGTAAATTTTCATATGCTTTTAAAGACGGTTCTAAACAGAGAAAAAACTTTGAATGTTTAAACAGAAACTGGGATACAAGTTTTACAGAAACAAAAAAAAAATACTTAACATATTGCAATTTACATTCATAATTTCAGTAATAAATTAACAAATATAAAAATAAAATCATTTGTTAAACTTAAAATACTAATAGTAATACTAACTTTTTAACCCAAGATCAAGCCCTGAGGACTACAAGACATGCTTTATTATCTATAATTGACAAACTTCTGAAAATAAGCAGTCATTTTACAATCATTCCCCGCAAGCACTACAAATTTCTCTAAAGTTTTTTTTTGAAACAATATTTTAATTAGGGGGATCAACAAGTATAAAATAGTTGGAATTTGGCTATTGAAGATTAATTGAACTTTTTAAAAATTAAAATTGTTAAAGAATTAAATGAATTATGCATTAATTGAAAAAAAAATCATATTTTATAAGCAAAGAAACATTTTATGTTAAAAACAAGGGACAACATCAAATTTTACACCTATGTTCCACCATCATGTAATGAAACGCTTTATAAAAATGAAATATAATGCACCAACTCTTTTTTTAAAAAAAAACTCAAGTAAAGCTACATCATTGGAAAACTGACAGTCCATCTGGCTGCTAGGTAGAGAAGCCAGAACGACTAGGGGTGCTCAACAATGGTAAAGCTAGTAATCTTGAAAGAATGTCAAAGTTTCACTGTTTATGGATATCTATTCACAGGTCAACATCTACCTACACAGCATACAAAACTTATGTCTTGATTGTTCACAACGTATAGGCACTTATAAAAATAATTGTTACAGAACATAACATTTACAGTCAGTATTTCTACCCAGGTCACATGCCATGGGACAAATAATCAACCAAAGACAAAATGTTTAACAAAATTACTTTTGTGGTATTTTGTTCTGTTTCTGATATTACACATTACAGTTGCAGTTAACAAACTAAATATATTAGGGATGTCAAAATTGTCTGTAATTGATATTCGAATATTTAACAATACGATAAAATAAATGCATTTTGCATTATAAAATACATATTTTCACTCTCCTGTTAAGCAGTATAAGTTTTATGCCATTATTTTGGAATAAAAACTCTTGTAGATTTCGGTAAATGCACTGCATTACTGCACTTTATTTTTTTTAATTATTGAATAGTATACATCCAAAATGTTATGATTGTTTTTTTGAAAATTCAAAAGATTCTTTAGTATTATTAGTAGTATTCTTTAGTAGTAATAGATTAATTGATCGTCTTACCAAAGTCTACACTGATAACTCCTACAAATTTTTACCAATCAGAACAAATATTTAACGGTGAAATATTACAAGCAATTACTTTTTGCTAATTATAATTTCCTGATAATGATTTTTAATGATATTTACATAAACATAAACGTATGTTTACTGTAAAACTGTGTCTTTACAACAATACAAACTGATTGTAAGTACTGGAAACTATTATACTACTAATTAAGTGAACAAATAAATAAATTACTCTAATAGATACACTATTCACACCTTTGAGGTAATCAAAGAGGACAGTTTTTTTTTATTTTGTACAAACTTGATTCAATTTCTAATAAAACTTGTCAGGTTTTTCTCTCTATTTAATGCTTGTATACTTAAAAACGAATATTCGAATCATAAATTTATATTCGAATATCAACTCATCGAATGAATATTCGAATATTCGTTGACATCCCTATAATTAATCCATGCTTACAGAACAGTGATATCTATTCCCTATGAAAAAAAACTTGTAATAAATAAAACAGATGTAATGAATTACAATTTTACGTAATTGTTTGTCCCTGGCACTTGATTATAAACATGATTTATTGTGTATATGAATCACCACTTGCATTAGATACATCCAGATACCAATCGTCAAATGTATATTATTCAAAGAATGCCAATTAATAAATTAAATTGTTTGAAATATCCCAGCAAATTGACATGCTATTTATTTGATTATTTCTAACTTGTCAATCTTCCAGAATGATGTTGCACAATTAATAGATTACAAATAAACTATATCCTTTCAATATATCAAACTCCATCGCTGGCTTGTTTATGTCTTATACTGCCCACTTTGGTCACTAGGCTGTTTTTCTGGAGTGGGCAATGTCTTTCCCTATATTTCAGTAATGGATTAGTCCTCTTACACGTAAAGCTTTGATTTTTGTCTTTGTTCTGTAAATTGTATAAATTAGAAGCACCGTTGGTCACATCTTTATGCCCTGAGATTATAATGGAGTCCTCTTCTACTTGGAGAAGTCCAGTCAGTTTTAACATATTCTGCCCTGTATCATGGCTCATATCAACCTGAAAAATGGCTGCCTCCAGCATTCGGGCTAGAGCTATTAAATATTCCTCTTGCTTTTCTAGCATTAGAAAGTTAGTTCTGTGGCGTAATATTTCTACAATGTCCACATATAAAGTATTTATTTCTGGTTTTCTGTTTTCTGTGACTTGGAAAAGATGAAACCTCAGGTCCACAGTGTTATCCATATTGCGCATTATTGTCAGGGTATTCTCCCCTGGAAGAGTGGTGGCAAAAACAGACAAAAATACGGGGCCATACTGAGTGCTGCAGCTAAAACAAAGAAAGTCTGAGTTTTAACTACGGCTATTTTGATATACTACTGATGGTGCTGAATCATACAAGGGATAAGGTAAATACAGTAAAACTTAATTATAAAGAACATGTTAGTAACACAGAACATTATATGCTTTATGGAAAAGCCTATCATTTCTAAACTTGTCGATAGGTCTACCCTTTCTAATGAATTTTTTTCACAAACCTATATGCGTCTGTAGTTTTTCCTAGAGATTCTAAAGCCTCCACAGATTGGACATGTTTTGTGGCGTGGGTGTTCAGCTCCGCGGATTCGTTGTTATGGGAACTCTCTGCAGCTTCGTCACTATGGGAACTCCCCCCCTGGCTGGATTCTGTGGAAGGTGGAGCTTCCAATCGTACGGTGGAGAGGATTTCCTCCGAGACTTCCTTTTTCTGTTCTACATTTTCACTATTGGCTGTGTTGACAACCACTGAAAGTTTGAAAAAATCTATCAAGCTCCCTCCTTTCTAAATCTATTTATAAACATTTTAAGACATGTATTCATGCATTTTCATTTTGTCTTATTATTGAAAGTGTTTATAGTGCTTCATATTTTTGCATAACATATTTTAATACATGATGAAGAGTTTTTCAGAAATGATGAAATATATATTAAAAATTTCAATATCTTAGAAAATGGGATTGCCATTTTATCACATTTTATGAAGGGTAACTCATAAGAAGGGTTTTCCAAATAAATATTTAGGTAACACTTTTATTCAAAAAATCAATTATTACATAAAGTAGAGAACAAAGCTTCATCTTATTAAAAAAAAAATGGGGGGGGGGGTGTTAAACATGTCTCTTTGCTTGTACATTTGTAAGAACAGTATCCATGAAATATCTACAGATACAAGTATAATTTTGTTGTTTCATGCCTGAATGAAATATCAGTGTCTTGTTAATCACCCAACCATTTTGCAATAAAACACAAGAATTAAACAAGAGGCTCAGGGGCCACATCGCTCACCTGAGTCTGTAGTTTGGAAAAATGCAAAAATCTTAAAAAGCTTATATGCCTGAGTGGTCACAACCTACCCCTAAAAGGCAGAAGGGTTAAAGGGGGAGGGGGTATGGTTTTAATACCTGAGGATGCTTCCAAATAAATATGACAAATAATGGCTTCACTGATCCTAAGAAGAAGACTTTTTAAGATTTGACCTATACATTCCTATTTTAAACTTTGATCATATATTGTGGCCCACCCTACCCCCGGGGGGCATGTTTTGAAGAAACTTGAATCTACACCACCTGAGGATACTTCCATATAAATATCACCAATAATGTCTTTGCTGTTCTTGAGAAGAAGATTTTTAAAGATTTTCCCAATTCAATGTACATTCCTATGTTAAACTTTCATCAGCCATTGTGGCCCCGCCCTTCCCCCAGGGGTCATGATTTGAACAAACTTGCATCTACACTACCTGATGATGCTTCCACATGAGTTTTCTTTCCTGGCCCAATGGTTCTGGAGAAAGATTTTTAAAGATTTCTCCTATAAATTTCTATGTAAAACTTTGATCAGCCATTTTGCCCCGCCCTTGACCCGGGGGTCATGATTTGAACAAACTTGAATTTAAACTTCCTGAGGATGCTTTGTGGCAATGCACTTTGAAAAAATTACGCACTTTGAAAAAATTTTTCAAAGTACATTAAATTTGGGACCAACTCAACGCACTTTGAAAAAATTTTTCAAAGTGCGTTAAGGTTCTACATCAATATATTTTACCATGGAGACACATAACGCACTTTGAAAAAAAAATCATATTTTATTCATGGAAAGATTTTATTTGTTATTTTACTTATTTATCTTTCAAAACACTAAGCCTAACCCAACCTCAAAAATGAATTGATTTACTCCCGTCGAAAAGAGGAGAAGACGGGTATAAGATCCCTCAGTCCAAATCTTTATCTTTCCAATACATAGGTGTCGGTAACAAACAAAGGGGAGCAATAAACCTAAAAAGGGTACGCTGCATTTTCAATGCTTATACGATGTATATATCTTCCCAAAATAAGTGGGGGGGGGGGGGGGGGGGGCTTAGCCCCCCATCCCCTCCCCTGGCCCTTCGCCCAGTCTCGATGTCTATGCTATACTCAAAGCATTCATATAATTATGTATTTACCTAACTGGTATGACGTTGAAAAATTTTCCCTTTTATTTTATCAAAACCTTAAATATTTAAAACGTCAATATCTCAGGTCCTACTGTGACTTTATCATAAAAAAGTTATCAAACCAGAATCTGTTTATCATACCGATTATTTGAAGGAATATTGATCAATCTTTACTTTTTTTTTCAAAGTGCGTTAATATGGTCCATATTAACGCACTTTGAAAAAAAATTATTTTTTTCAAAGTGCGTTAGCTTGGTCCCAAATTTTAACGCACTTTGAAAAAATTTTTCAAAGTGCGTAATTTTTCAAAGTGCGTTGTAATGAGTTTTATAATCTTCTGTAAGATATTTATCATTTGTTGAATTAATCTCTAATTTTGAAGATAACAACACTCTTGCAAAGCAATTTTGTTAATTACTTTGAGTTTGGCCTGTTTGACTTCTACAACATTTTAGAACTACAGAAATATTTTGACTTAAGCTTAAGATGTTTCATGATCCCGGGGCCTGGCCTGGGGGCCATAAAACTTAGACAAGCTCACTTTTGATCTCAGTCTCACTTTAACCAAAGGAATATATAGTGGAAAAGTGAGACTGAGATCAAAAGTGAGCTCATCTGAGTTTTATGGCCCCCAGGCCAGGTGCCTACGAGAAGTAAGCATCCCCAGTCAACTCGTCTCAAAGCATCCAACTGACTGACCAATTAATTGTCTTAGCAATCAGTTGTTAATTCAGTGAAATAACTTGCCATCACTTTTAGCCGTGTATGTCAGTAGAACCTCCAGGTCTGGGTACTCGTAAGCCGCGTCCAGTAACCTCTGTCCCTCTTTATAGAACAGGAAGACGATAGGGATCACTACGTCTGACTGGCCGTCACCGGACATCGCAAATAACAGACTCGACTCCACTGTACTCTCCTTGTTATTATCTGGAAAAAATTATTCAAGAATAACATAGCAATTATATTTTTCCATGTATTTTTACTTCCCCGTAGTTCATGTACAAAAACTTTTAAATTGATTACATCACATAGTAACAAACTTAAAGCTATAATTGTGTTGCTGTATAGTACACAGGTAACTATTTAATGATGTTCTTACCTATGATTAACATTAACATTAATGCTCTTACCAATGACAAAATTAACACTAACGTTAACCTGCTTACCGATGACAATGTTAACAATATCACTAACAATAACGTGCTTACTGATGACGATGCCTATTAAATGTTTCTACTAACAATGATCTTCTTACCGATGACAATCCCCCCAATAGCACCTGCTGCCTGTAATCGCCTGGCCTGGAAAACGAAAAAAAAAACAAGATGTGTTTGTGAAACACTGATGACCCCGTATGGAACATAGCGAAGATTTGACTTTTCTTAAATGCAAATTTAACATATTGGTACCAAAAGTAGGGCATTCTCACAAGAAATACAATTGTGAAATATGAAAGTAGGCCAAGGTTTTAAGTTTTTGCATAAGTAAAGAAATCTCCAATGTCATAGTCAAAAGATCAAAGTAATTGTATCCAATGAAAGGTCTTGACACAAAAAATACGATGTATGAAGTATGGAAACCCTAGACCTAACCCTTCAAAAGTTATGGCCAATGTTAAAAATTCTATGGCCAAGATTAAAGTTTTTTCATAAGTACAGAAATCTCCAAGGTCAAGGTCAAAAGGTCAAGATTGTTGGTATCCAATGAAAGATCTTTCCACAAAGAATAAATATGTAAAGTGTGAAAGTCCTAGCCCTAACCTTTCAGAAGTTACGGCCAATGTTAAAAATTCTAAAAGTAGGTCAAACTCCAAGGTCAAGGTCAAAGGGTCAAAGGTCTTGCTATCCAATAAAAGGTCTTGTCACAAGGATTAAATTGTAAAGTTTGAAAGAACTACCCTATCCTTTGAAAAGATATGGTCAAATTTGCTTTTTAAAAGCAAGTCAAACTCCAAGGTCAAAGGGTCAAAGTTTTTGGTATCCAATATACGGTCTATTCACAAGGATTACTTATGTGAAGTATGAAAGCCATATCTCTTAGTGTTCAAAAGTTATGGTCAAGGTTAAAGTTTTTTTTCATAAGTATGGCAATCTCCAAGGTCATGGTCAAGTCGAGGTTATTGGTATCCAATGAAAGATATTTGAACAAAGAATAAACATGTAAAGTGTGAAAGCCCTAGACCTAACCTTTCAAAAGTTGAATTTGAAAAGTAGGCCAAACTCCAAAGTCAAAATGTCAAGGTAGTTGGTCTCCATGGAAAGGTCTAACCACAAAGAATACATATGTGAAGTATTAATGTCCTGGTATCTCAAATTCAAAAGATATGGCCAAAATAAAAGTTTGGAAACTCCAAGATTAAAAGGTCAAATTGGGTGGTACCCAAATAAAGGTCTTGTTACAAGAAATACACATGTGAAAAATGAAAATTATAGCTCCCCTAAATCAAAAGTTATGGGCAAGGTTATTAAAGTTTTTGCGGACAAACAGACTGACAGAGAGACAAACAGATAGCTAGACAGACGGACAGACACGACAAAAACTATATACCCCCAAAACTCTGTTTAAGGGGGCATAAAAATGACTGTAAACATTTCACTTAATTATAAACACCTTTGAAAATTAAAATAGAGTCCCTCATCCCTGGCAATTTTGAATATACGGCCTGATATAGAAAAATTGCCAAAAAAAATGTAGGACCAGAGGCTTGTATAAAAGCCTGTAAAATCCTTTCCACTATAAAATATTTAGAAAAAAACAGCCTATTTCTGTCTTGCCCATAAACAATCTTACAATAGAAAAACAATGTCACAGTATTTTTAAGGAATGCACATCATTGGTTACTAGTACCTACATAATTAAATATTAAGGTAATCTACAAATGATAACTAATACCTATGATCATCAATCATACACTGCACATCACCTAATACAAAGAACTTTCTTGTTCTTTATTTTTCATACCAAATATGCATGAAAAGAGGAGTAAACATTCCCTATCAAGCAGTTAAACCCACTGTGTGCTCCTCGACATGATTAGGAAAACAGACAAATCTATAGACAGTTCTGTGTGTAAATAACAGCTTTACAATTACATGTACAGTAAAACTCGGTTATAACAAAGTCACTAGGACCAATGAAATTACTTCGATTTATCCATACAAGGAATTCATTAAATTTGTACAGCTGGGGATCCAATATAATTTTGCTAGATCTGTGAATTTGCAATATCCATTTTCATACTAAACGAGCTTTACTGTAGTATGAAGACTGTTAGTCAGCATTTGACTTAAAATTAGACTGAATTTGCTTACAAGGTTCTACCAAAGAATTTGCAAAATGTAGACTTGTAACAAAATTATTGATAGCCTTGTATCTTCAACTTATTTGACAATAGTCTATCTCATTTAAAAATATCTTGGAACATGCTGTTGCACATCAAATTAAGAACTGGGAGACATAAACTCTAAATACTCATGAAAAGTTTGCCAGAGATTAAACTAAGGACATACTGTCATTGTACAGAAACATTTCCTACATTATCAGTTACTGTTATACTGCTATCTATAAAAACATCACATTACAGTGGAGCCTCGTTTATGCGGACGCTTTGGTCCTAGTCAATTTGTCCGGATATGTGAAGCATCCGGATATCTGAGTTACCAGTTAAACAAGACAAAATAACGTTAAAAAAATTCCGTTCCGATGAAAAGTCGTCTGGATACTGATTTTTTTTTTATCAATATCTTTTAATGCAGAAATGCTTTTCTTTGAAAATATGTAGCTGTTATTCAATATTTTATTCCGTAAATTTTCAATTAGCACTAAACAATATTATGTTTCATAACTGACAAATATTATTTCCTGATCATGTTAACTGAAAGAATGATAATTATCACATATTATATTAATAGTCACACTATTCAGTAATTGTCTGGTTTAAAACGATTTATCACATGTTTCTCGAATACTGCAGACAGATGAAGTAATTAATTAATTAAGCACTAATTGATTCAATTGAAAACATTTAGTAATATGTACTGTTCGCCAAATTTTAACAAATAATTTTTGATGATGTATAATTGACTTTAAAACACATAGCAAGTTTGATAGACATCATATCGGGAGTAGTTTACTGTTTTTAAGAAACATTTGACAGCAAAAAAGCTTGGTACTCAAAGGTCACCCTATCTTTTGAAAAATGAGTGAAAACAACAGCGTGTACAAAAGTCTTAACAATTATTTTAAAATATCAGTAATTGTAGTTATCCACGTTTGTTTCATATTCAAACAGATATTGGAACATGAATCAATTGCTTAAAACCATAAAAACAAAATTTACATTAAGATGTACTTGATAAAAATGGCAAAGGTCTGACAAGAGCAAAAAGACAGATTTATATGCAATTTTCTTAAATATTAGTGGTATTGTTGTTATTGACAGTTTAAGAGTCTAGAAAGCAATTTTCTTGCAAAAAAATCGAAGGGTTTATTAGAGGAAGGACCCAGAATCAGGAATCAACTACATTGCATTTCTTCATGACTGCATCCAAACCCGCATGCCCTGAAGAGTAAAGGGGGTTTTCAGGATAAACAGAAAGTTCAGTGATACATGTGCATTGCCCATTTTAGATTGAGTATGTACTTGGAATAATCCGGGTTGTGCATACCAGTTTTTTTTTGTTAGAAATGCCACAGTGACTATATATACTTGGTACGTGACGTATTCTAAGTAAGACGACGAGACATGGGTAGTTCAGGCGATACAATCATTTCAATTTTGGATCGATATTTTAAAAAAACCCACCCTCCCACCGCATTCTTATGCAGTTCACTGTTGAAAATTATATGTATGTTTTTATTATCATGATACTGCCGTGTTTTTGCATTATATATTTCAGGAAACGTCGAGACGCACGTAACACAACCGTCATCCGTCAACGTCGCGGTGCAGCTAAGATGTCTTTCTATCATTATTGTGCCATGAAGATGATGTTAGTTCGTTATCGTCAACCCCACCTCACATGAACGAGTGCTGTTGTTAACTCGTATGACATATTGTGGCGCTATTTGCGCATTTGTGGCACTATTTGTGCATTTGTGGCGCTATTTGCGCATTTGTGGCACTATTTGTGCATTTGTGGCGCTATGCGCTGTGGCGCTATTTGCGCATTTACTTTTATTTTAAACATTGATAAAGCAAATCTCAACATTTTTAGTACCTGGATATGTTAATGGGATATTGCACCATTGAACAATATGGTAATGATTTAACATTGATGACATTGTTAATGGGATATTGGCCCAGTGTATCATATTGTATTGATTTTACATTTTTGATGGGACATTGGCCCATTCATTTGACATGGATACTATCTAAATGGGATATTGGCCCATTGTATCCATTTTGCGTGGCGTTGTGCATTTGCGAAATTTACCCAGTGCACAATATTTAGCCCATTTGGGGCCGCCACTTTTGTTGTTATTGTTGGGGAGACGACCCGGCGGCTCCCAAATTTGTCATATGTCACCGCGACCAGATACGCCAAACTTCAAATAAATCCTATCAAACTATTAAGCGTTATTTTATATATAACATCTGAGATAATAACAATATTTGCCAGATCTTATACCTTTTGACTTATTTCTATTTCCAAACTTGAAAAAAATACCTTTCAGAAGGAAGAAACAAGTCCAGGAAATCACTTGTAGTGCCCCAGAATAATATTCTTTCCGGATTTGTTGGTTTTTATTTTACTGTATTCCGGATGCCATCTAAGGCATCAGTGCCAACCTTGTGGGTTCTAGAACCCAGCTTATTTTACTGTCTTTAAAGCCACCTATGAAGTAAGTTTTGTGCCTTTTCATTTACTACGATGTGTAAGCAATCCATAATACTCGTTTTCTAGTCATATGTAATTTTTTTAATGTCGTATTGAGTCAACTTGGCACTTTTGTCTGTGTTTGTTTTGATCATTAAATTTTGATTGTGACGATTGATAATTGCATCATTAATACATCTGTAAACATGCTAGGGATAAACTATTTTGATGTCTGTTTATTAATTCATTGAAATGATTTTGATAGAAAACGCTTCTTTGAGATCGGTTAAAAATTCAAAACTATGGAAACCCACTCTTGTCATATGTTTATTGTGTATGTTTTGTATTGAGATATTGTTTACATTATTGTATTGTTTGTTTGTAGTTTTTCACCCTCTCCGGGGGTTTGGATGCAATAAACACATTCAACATTGCACATCACTGGATCTGCCATTTTCCAGTATACTAAGGGTCATACCCAACAAGAGGCCCATGGGCCACATCGCTCACCTGAGCAGTGTGGCTAGGAAAAAGTAGAAATTGGTTTATTATTGAAAAGTTTAAATTCAAAAGTAAACCTTTGAACTGTTATGGTTTGGCTATTCTTGAGAAGATGATTTTAAAGAATTTTCCTATATATTTCTATGTAAAACTTTGGTCGGCCTTTGTGGCCCCCCCTACCCCTGGGGTCATGATTTGAACAAACTTGAATCACAACTACCTGAGGATGCTTCCAATATAAATATGATCAATCATGGCTTTGTTATTCTTGAGAAGAAGATTTTTAAGAATTCTCCTATATATTTCTATGTAAAACTTTGGTCATCCATTGTGGCCCCACCCTACCCCCGGGGGTCATGATTTGAACAAACTTGAATGTACACTATCTGAGGATGCTTCCATATAAATATGATCAATTATGGCTTTGTTATTCTTGAGAAGAAGATTTTTAAAGAATATTCCAATATATTTCTATGTAAAACTTTGGTCGGCCATTGTGGCCCCGCCCTACCCCCGGGGGTCATGATTTGACAAACTTGAATCGACACTACCTGAAGATGCTTCCATATAAATATGATCAATCATGGCTTTGTTATTCTTGAGAAGAAGATTTTTTAAGAATTTTCCTATATATTTCTATGTAAAACTTTGGTTGGCCATTGTGGCCCCACCCTACCCCCGGGGGTCATGATTTGAACAAACTTGAATGTACACTACCTGAGGATGCTTCCATATAAATATGATCAATTATGGCTTTGTTATTCTTGAGAAGAAGATTTTTAAAGAATTTTCCTATATATTTCTATGTAAAACTTTGGTTGGCCATTGTGGCCATTGCGCCCTACCCCCGGGGGTCATGATTTGAACAAACTTGAATCTACACCACCTGAGGATGTTTCCCCATAAGTTTCATCTTTCCTGGCACAGTGGTTCTTGAGAAGAAGATTTTTAAAACATACCACCAAAGTTTCATTAATTCCCAATTATCTCCCCTTGAATGAGGGCATGGCCCTTCATTTGAACAAACTTGAATCCCCTTTATCTAAAGATGCTTTGTGGCAAGTTTGGTTGAAATTGGCCCAATGCTTCTTGAGAAGAAGTCGAAAATGTGAAAAGTTTACAGACAGACGGACGCCGGACAAAATGTGATCAGAAAAGCTCACTTGAGCCTTCGGCTCAGGTGAGCTAAAAATGAGTTCTAAAAACAATCAGAAATTGGATAAAAAATGTTACGGACATGTGTTTTAATAAAAGAGATTAATAAGTAAAATCATGAAGACTAAATCATTGAAAAGCGTCTTTTGCTTTTTTCTGAGCACCAAGCACATTATATTTATTGAACAGCCCTCGTTAAAGGCAAATTCCACCAAAATAATCTCTAAAAATGCAACCAACATATTGGCAGACCAACTTATAGGCGAGTATATAAGGTATTACCTAATCAAATGGATTTTGTTGTTTTATTAGAAATGTAATATTTTCATCTATTCTGTATGTCTTTTCAGTTTTTCTTATCTTTTGAAATCAATCTATTGGCTGCTAGTCAATAGACTGTGACCTTTTGACTGGCAACTTAGGATTTCATATACTAGTATGTGTATATAATAAACACAATACAATGTGAACATCTGTAACGCATGCCATTTCAACATCTTTGCTCTGTGAAATGAAAAGGGTCAGGATAATTAAAGAATGTTTGAATGCAAGAAATCTGTGAGCCAGTGCTCACTAGTAATACCCCAGCTCTGATGTGAACATGCACTATCATATTAATATACACAACTTCAGTTTCGGGCAGATGCACGGATAAATGGACTTTTGCAAGATGCACTGACTTCTACAGTTGACAATATACTTGGACATTTAAACTTGTACCATGTATAGAGGTACAGAATTGATAATACATAAGAAAACCTTTCTAGTGGTCATAGGTATGGTATTAGTGGCATTTACATGTGAAGGGCTGGAGCTGAGGGTAGGGTGGTTGTCATTTTCTTCATGGACAACTTATATGTGCATCAGGGTTTTAAACTAACTTGTAATCCTTGATCGCCATGTGGGCTACTAAACCTTGCAATTCTGGGGCCCACATCAAAATATATTCGCCCACAAATTATCACACCTTCTATTGAACAAAAATACAACAACCCCATTTTCGTTATCATATGCTTCGTCTTTCTTTTCTATCCGTAGAAACATTATGCACGACTTATCTAAATTTAAGTTTGAACTCTTTTGTTTAAAAAGATTGACGTGGTTATTAAACATCATAGATTCACATGGCAGATATTTTCACAGATACAACAAAGATGCTTTTTGGTTTGTTGGGCTCATTGACGCGTTGATGCCACATTGTGTCCGTCACAATCACTCGGACACTTTATGTATAAGTACTTCTCACTGGTAAATATAACAGCTGTATAAAGCACTTGACTTATTACGAAATTTTTCAAGACAAAAATACGGAAAATTTGGACAAAATGGAAAAAAAAAATTATTATCGTAAATTTTCTAATGGCCATGTGGGCTACTTGAACGTAATTTTAAGTCGTCCACAAGGAATATTGATCGCAAATTCGAGTGGGCGATTGTTAATTTCAAACCCTGGTGCATTGAAATATAACTCGTTATTCTCATTAAATTAAATGTTGAGCTAAATATTTATATCCTAAAAGAACTATGTATGGTACAAACAGATGCACATATAAACAGGAAGTTGACATCAGATTCGTACAAAAATGAATACAAACATAATGCATGCCTCAAAAAAGAGTGTGCTAAAATTTCAAGCATCTGCAGTGAGTAGTTGTTGAGAAACTGTGATGAATATTTGTTTTATATAGTACGGACAGATGCAGGGATAAACATACAGTTTTTTCCAGACTTTTGACAGACAGAGGGACAGACACACAAGGGTAAAATTTTTACTTAAATTTACTAAAAAAGCATACCCCCGCTCCTTCAGAATGGGGTCTAGTAATAACTTTATGATGCTGTTGACAGGTGAATTTTCCCCCTGTTACATTTTTGCCCCTTTAGCCCTAACTCAGTTGGGTGATTTTAAGTTGAAGCAAATTCAATGAATACAGTATTATTTCTTGAAAATAATTGTGACTGGTCAAAGTTCAAGCAGGACATATTGTTTGCAAGTGTAGAAAGGCTAAAATAAGCCTGTATGCAGTGCATCTTTTAAAAGTGTTTAATTCATAATTTCTTTTCAATGAACTTAGCTCTGACTTGTAAAATATATTCTTTAGAACTGAAAGAAACTGCAATATTTTAATTTTGATCTCAAGGATTGTTCATATAAGATTGTTTCATTGAACATGCAATTTACACCTCCCACTAATGTGGTGACAATAAAAGTAACATAACAAATAAATCAGACTTATAGACACAAGAGCAGTCAAACAAGTGCAAAAAGGTCAAAGACAAAGAAAAAACCAAAGTTATTCAAATATTAACAAAGATTTTCATCTTTTTTGAATTTCTTAACTATACATCTTTAGACAAAAGGCCCATGGGCCACATCGCTCACCTGAGTAACTTTGGTGATGCTGTTCTTTAACATATTTCCTCCCTTGTAATACCTATTGTGGCCTTCCCATACCTCCCCCACCTCCACAATATCACAATTTCAATAATTTAAAATCAACACTACCCCAGGATGCTTCCACATAAGTTTCAGCTTTTCTGGCCTAGTGGTTCTTGAGAAGATGATTTTTAAAGTTTTTTCCTAATAGTATATATTTCTATGTAAGACTTTAATTCCCTATTGTGGCCCCGCCCAACCCCAAGGGATCATGATTTTTACAATTTAGAATCTACACTACTCCAGGATGCTGCAACATAAGTTTCAGCTTTTCTTGCCCAGTGGTTCTTGAAAAGAAGATTTTTAAACTTTTTCCCTATGTATTTCTATGTAAAATTTTGATCCCCTATTGTGGCCTCGCCCAACCCCTGGGGTCATCGGGGGTCATGATTTTAACAATTTAAAATCTACACTACCCCAGGGATGTTTCCATATAAGTTTCAGCTTTTCTGGACCAGTGGTTTGTGAGAAGAAGATTTTTTAATGACCCCACCCTATTTTTGTCTTTTCTTGATTATCTCCCCTTGTGATGGGTCTTGGCCCTTCATTTTAACAATTTCAACTCTCCTTCACCTATGAATGCTTTGTACCAAGTTTGGTTAAAATTAGCCCAGTGGTTCTTGAGAAGAAGTCAAAAATGTGAAAAGTTAACAGACGGACAAATGGACAGCTAGACAGCTAGATGGACGACGGGCAAAATGTGATCAGAAGAGCTCACTTGAGCTTTCGGCTCAGGTGAGCTATAAAAGTTTATAATTCTGGAATTTGACGATCACCAAGTCAATTTAAAATTGTTATTGTTTTGGCACTTATTTGAAAATTTCTTTGCCATGGTGACTAAGTTCACCACCAGTTAGAGCCCTTATTTGGTAGGTGAGATGTTAGAAATATTTATTTTAAAATTGTCTTTTATCCAGGTCTTAGAAGTAAATCTGGCTCCTGATAATTATAAGTCACAGATCAGCCATGCTGTATTCTCTTTCTGTGATTGGCTCTACCTTTACTGTTATTTCTTTGACGTCATTCCTAAACTTTGTATCCAGTAAACAGGTATGAAGCACTCAATGCTCCGGAGAACAAAATAACTCATGATTCACACAGGAATCTGATTGTATAACCAACATCTGTTTTTAACTTTTCCGTTTATTCAGCAAAGTAGAAGCACTTGTTATAGACAAACATTTAACTCTTAGATAAGATGGGAGTCTAAAATCTTACCTTGTCCATAAACATACAGCTTCCCCTCTCTATCACCCCTATCTTCCCCTCCAAGTCTCGGGGGTTCTGTATGGTGTGACAGGCATCATACGGTGTCACAATTGCCACCTGGCCTAAAATCTGAACAAAATGGCAAAGAGCATAAAAAACATAAAATGTTAATAGAATTAAGGCTCTTATGAACCAAAACATTGATTTTGATTTGTAACTCAGTCACATAATAACATCCATAAATATATATTCATATTCTATTTTTTTTCACATATTATTTTATTTTCTTTATCATGTTTAGGTTAAAGAATAAAGTAAGAGATGAATGCTGGAATAGTAACCCTTTTTACATTGTACAAAGTAGTGTTCATTTTTTTGAGAAAAAAAAACTTATCACTCTTACAATTCAGATGGAAATTTTTCCTATTTTTTACCATTTTAACTATCAATCATTAATAAAATTGATTCAAAATTTTGGACATGGTAAATCTAGATAAGGGTAATGGTAAATCTAACTAACCGGAGGGTTCACTTTAAGGTTGTATCCAAACTGAGCGGGTCCTGCTTTCAATGATACTGAGCCATGGAATGGGTTGGACACAAACTGTACAGTCATTGGTTCTTGCTGATCTGTAAAACAGCAAAATACACATCAACACATCTAAACAATTTTGTTTTTTTAATCATTAAATCTACAGTAATATGGAAATTATAAAAAAAAAATAATGATGCCAAATAATCATATTATTCTGAGTGAACCTCTAACACTTACGGTCATGCTGGGCATTCTGAGACAACTCAATCATTTCTTTCATAAACTCTATTCCCTCCTCTGCATCTTGCTTTGAAGCAGCCTATTAAAACAGATCATGAATGGTAAATCAAGAAGTTGAAACACATCATAATTCAAATGAACAACAATAGTCCCATGGACCAAAGCCCTCACCAGAGTCACTGTGCTGCTGTGAAACTTGACAATTTGTGACACGAGATATTCTTGTTATAAAAAATAACCTGTACAGTAAAACTGGGTTAAGTCACTGGGACCAATGGAATTACTTCGTTTTAACCGTAATTCATTATATCCGTATAAGGAATTTGTTAATTTTACATAGCTGAGGATTCAAGATAACTTTGCTATATCCATGAATTCGCCATATCTGTGTTTGTACTAAATGAGTTTAACTGTATGTAAGAAATATAAGAAATAGGAAAAACTTTGGGCTGCTGTGATCAGTAGGCTTCAGGGCATGTCATCAGGAGCCTAACTTAAAAAGAATAAATCCTGAAACCCAATTAGATTTTTGTAGTGGGAGTTATGCAGTTAGTTCCTAGACTTTTTGCTGTACTCACCAAGACAGTTAGTTCCTAGACTTTTTGCTGTCACAGCAGCCCAAAGTTTTTCCTATTTCTTATATTTCTTACATACAGTTAAACTCATTTAGTACAAACACAGTTAGTTCCCAGACTTTTTGCTGTACTTACCGAGACAGTTAGTTCCCAGACTTTTTGCTGTACTTACTGAGACAGTTAGTTCCTAGACTTTTTGCTGTACTTACCGAGACAGTTAGTTCCCAGACTTTTTGCTGTACTTACTGAGCCAGCGGAGTGTAGAAGCTGCAGTCTGCCGTCACTCATGGTGGAGATCTTGATTCCCATTCTGTTGATCAGCTCCTGGTGCTCCTTGTTACTGATAACGAAGTCTGCTGCATGTAACCTTGGACTCGGTCGTACACAGCTGTAAAGTTAAACAATTCGTAAAATAGCTGCAGTTAGCTGGCATCAGAAAACAAGTGATGAACTCTGATAAAGAATCAGACCTGTCTCCGGGAGAGAGGACATTATTGACGTAATCCTTCAGCTCTGTGCGGATGTCGAAGGCATAGGAGGTGGTTCCCTTGTTGAGGTGGAGGGGGTTAGGACAGGTCTGCTGGTCCGAGTTCTCCTCAGGGTCCAGTAATAAAGGTCCATCCAGGTCAACGTCGTACAACATAGTCTTCACCTGAAAGTCAATCAAAACCTCACCGATCTCAACCTTACATATTAACAAGTTAAAAGGATTTAGGGAATTTATATTTTTAAAATTTCATGTAGGATATTAGCTTTGAGAATCATATAGACTTTACTAAGTCTATAAAAGAATCATTTCTCTTACAAACTTTTCAGGAATGAAAGATACATGCACATTTGTAACATTAATTTTATTCAAAAAGATCCAAGGAAGGACATACAGTAAAACTCGTTTAGTATGAACACGGATATAGGGAATTCACAGTTATAGCGAAGTTTTTATGGGTCCCCGGCAAAATTCTTAACAAATCTTTGTAAAATTTTACGGTTATAACAAACTCTGATATAACGAATTTACGGATATAGCGAACTGATTTTGAGTCCCATTGAGGTTAAATATAATGAAATTTTAATTGAAGGAAAACATGCACCTTGCGATTTCGCTACATATGGTTATATGAATTCGTTACACGGATATAACGAATTACGGATATAGCGAATTAAATTCATAGGTCTCCAGGACTTCGCTATAACCGATTTTTACTGTAGACTGAACTTATCCATGAATAAAGACTAACTGTTGCCCTCTGAAGGTTAATGACCACACCTTAGTTTCTAGTGTCGAGGTATTGACAAATTTGACACAGAATTTCTTCATGAATTAAGACTTGTTGTTGTCTCCTACTAATAGCCTTACCTTTGTTTCTATGGTGGAGGAGTTGACCAGAGACAGAGTTAGGGGGAGTAGGTGAGCCTCCGTGGTGAAGATGTACTCATTGACTGGTACCACAAGGTCTCTCTCTTCAGAGAACAGAAGGTACAGGTACTTAAAGGTCTCCGCCAGCACAAACGAGTCTAGCCTAGTGAAAAACAGACAAGTACTTAAAGGTCTCCGCCAGCACAAACGAGTCTAGCCTAGTGAAAAACAGACAAGTACTTAAAGGTCTCCTCCAGCACAAACGAGTCTAGCCTAGCGATAAAGAGACAAGTACTTAAAGGTCTCTGCCAGCACAAACTAGTCTAGCCTAGCGAAAAACAGACAAGTACATAAAGGTCTCCGCCAGCACAAACGAGTCCAGCCTGAAAAACAGACAAGTCCTTAAAGGTCTCCGCCAGCACAAACGAGTCTAGCCTAGTGAAAAACAGACAAGTACTTAAAGGTCTCCTCCAACACAAACGAGTCTAGCCTAGCGATAAAGAGACAAGTACTTAAAGGTCTCTGCCAGCACAAACTAGTCTAGCCTAGCGAAAAACAGACAAGTACATAAAGGTCTCCGCCAGCACAAACGAGTCTAGCCTAGTGAAAAACAGACAAGTACTTAAAGGTCTCCGCCAGCACAAACGAGTCTAGCCTAGTGAAAAACAGACAAGTACTTAAAGGTCTCCTCCAGCACAAATGAGTCTAGCCTAGCGATAAAGAGACAAGTACTTAAAGGTCTCTGCCAGCACAAACTAGTCTAGCCTAGTAGAGGTCTCCGCCAACACAAACGAGTCCAGCCTAGCAAAAAACAGACAAGTACTTAAAGGTCTCCGCCAGAACAAACGAGTCCAGCCTAGCGAAAAACAGACAAGTACATAAATGTCTCCGCCAGCACAAAGGAGTCCAGCCTAGCGAAAAACAGACAAGTACTTAAAGGTTTCCACCAGCACAAACTAGTCTAGCCTAGCGAAAAACAGACAAGTACTTAAAGGTCTCCGCCAGCACAAACGAGTCTAGCCTAGCGAAAAACAGACAAGTACTTAAAGGTCTCCGCCAGCACAAACTAGTCTAGCCTAGCGAAAAACAGACAAGTACTTAAAGGTCTCTGCCAACACAAATGAGTCTAGCCTAGCGAAAAACAGACAAGTACTTAAAGGTCTCTGCCAGCACAAACTAGTCTAGCCTAGCGAAAAACAGACAAGTACTTAAAGGTCTCCGACAGCACAAACTAGTCCAGCCTAGCGAAAAACAGACAAGTACTTAAAGGTCTCCACCAGCACAAATGAGTCTAGCCTAGCGATAAAGAGACAAGTAGTTAAAGGTCTCCGCCAGCACAAATGAGTCTAGCCTAGCGAAAAAACAGACAAATACATAAAGCCAACACAAACGAGTCTAGCCTAGCGAAAAACAGACAAGTACTAGAGGTCCCCGCCTGCACAAACGAGTCTAGCCTAGCGAAAAACAGACAAGTACTTAAAGGTCTCCGCCAGCACAAACGAGTCTAGCCTAGTGAAAAACAGACAAGTACTTAAAGGTCTCTGCCAACACAAATGAGTCTAGCCTAGCGAAAAAACAGACAAATACATAAAGACTAGCCTAGCGAAAAACAGGTGTTTTAGCCTTTAAAGGTCTCCGCCAGCACAAACGAGTCTAGCCTAGTGAAAAACAGACAAGTACTTAAAGGTCTCTGCCAACACAAATGAGTCTAGCCTAGCGAAAAAACAGACAAATACATAAAGCCAACACAAACGAGTCCAGCCTAGTGAAAAAACAGAGAAATACATAAAGCCAGCACAAACGAGTCCAGCCTAGTAGGAAACAGAAATATGTACATGAAGTATTTCAAAAATTCAGATATGTCATGTTATTTCTCTACATAAACTTGTTTTTTTTTCAGAACAATTGTTTTTCTGTACATAGACTTGGTGTTTTTGTGTTTACAGACTTGATGTTTTTGTTAATACACAGTTAGCATTATTTTTTACAATATTTTTGTTTATACACACTTGGTATTTTTCTTTATAACAACAGTACTCACTGATCCTCGTGTTTTCCCGTGACCACGTCTTTGATGGCGGCGAATCCACACGGCACCCTGGCATGTTTGTTCAGGTTTTCCACGATTAACCGCCCGACTTGTAAATAATGGGGATCGTGTGTAGCCTGTAAAGTAGGGAACCGTTATCAAGACTTCTACAGCTAAATCTTTGTTTTATAGGACTCAAAAGTAGCAACCTAAGTAATCAACTCTACCAAACTTAGCTTTGTGACCATGCCATCATTCAGCAAATGATTACCATGCTAGGCAATTTCAAATTGAAATTAATAACCATTCAGTTCCTAGCTTTTATAGGCTCTTGTCTGAATTTTACACTTTTCCCAAAAATAAAACCTTTCATCTGAAACCTTTACTCAACAATCAAGAAATATTTTTTATCATTTTTAAACATCAGAAAATAGATATATATTGGTCAATGGTTATGTTATCAAATCAAATGAGGCCACATAAGCCACATAAGCATTAATCAGTTTTTGTTTGCTTTGTCTGTTTGTTTGTTTAAATCCCTTTCAAGAATTTTTCACTTGTATTAAGACACCACCATGTGTTGGTGAAGGGCTGCTATTATTGACCTATTATTGGCATTCAGGGCCACTGAACAGCTTGGGGTATTTTTTGCCATTCATACTGTGATAAAAAACAAAGGACATCCACATCCTGCAGTGGGATTCAAACCTATGATGTTATAGTCAACTCCCTAATCATGTTAATCTGTGACTCTAGAGTCAAGTAGAGCTTGACTCTCACCACTGAACCCTGTAGGTGACAAATTAATTAGTAAATTGTATAGGCGTTGGAACCGAGGGGGGGGGGGGCTTAGCCCCCCCACTTTTTTTTCCAAAGATAGACTAAGTATAGACATTATACATTGCTACAAAGGTTAAGCCCCCCCCCCCTTTCCACAGACATGTTGCAGCATAGGCTTAAAATGGGGAAAGTGGCAGTGTTTGCAAAAAAATTTGGTACTGAAGTACGAACCTTCCCGAAATAGGATTTTCGTGTTTGGGCACTTTTCCTCTTTTTTTTTGCTTGTCAGGTTGTTTTGAAGGTATAAAAATTTTTTTTACACTTAGCCCCCCAGCTTTCAATTTGCTTCCGAAGCCAATGAATTGATCATTATATACCTCAATTCATGTAATCTTATTCTTTATATGTGTTTTCTGTTGCAAAATTATAATCATGAACCTGTGGGAACTCTTAAAATGACATTATAATGAATTTAAGGTCACCTCGGGTCATGGAACAAATTGAATCTAAAGTGTGATAGACATCCTCTGCTCATTGCTCAGATACACACAGTCTGATTTTATAGAGTGAAAAGCATTTGAAAATACAAATATATTTATAAATTAGAGGTATTGTGAGCAATGAGCTCAATAACTGATACCCCCACCTACCATATGAATATAATGGCAGTGTCCATGTTTTGCTATGGTAAACCCAAAATATGTGTCGGATCAAAAAGTAAAATAGGAGGTGCACAATGGGAATATGTAATAAAGATTCTGTGAAAGTTTCATCAAATTTCATTCCGTGGTATGAGAGGAATTGCGGATTATAAGAGATCGGTACCCCAAAGCGTAACAGACAGACGGATGGACATACTGATTACAATATACCCTCCCGCTTTTCGCGCTTTTCAAGTGGGGGGGGGGTATCAAAAAGCTTACTTAAGCAATTAAACTGTAAATCATCTTCAGTGTCTGATTTATCATAAACATGGCAATTAAAAATCCTTCACCTTATACAGAAAATATGTTGATTCCACAAACTCTGGTCTCAGAGGATGTTGTCCCCAGTGGACTTTAAAGTCGGTGGTGAATGCCTGAAACAAAACAAGTCAAAAATAACTGCCTAGGCACAATAAGGAGCTATACACTGGTAAGAAACTTTGTAACAAGGAATTTGGGACAATGAACTTTTCATCTTGACTCTAAACACTTAGTGTGTGGGAACCCGATACATTGGGCCTGACATCACAAACAATGTTAACAACTTTTACTGGTAAATTTAATATTGCAAAATAAGGAAACAAGCTTCATCATTTACTTTGCATTAACCAATACATGTTAATCAGCTTAAGAAAACTAAGGAAAACTGATAAAAGACATCTTTGGTTAACCAAACTTTATTTCTGGATATGACAATAGACCCGTGGGCTATAATGCTCATTTACGTCATCCTGAATCATAATTCTTCAACAAATGATTTCCCCTCTTAATACACGTAAAAAAATTTACCACAAATTATGGCCCCAGTAGGTCATGATATAATCTACCTGAAATTCAGGATAATGCCTCAATGTATTCATGATTAACATGTTTTTAGGTAAAAGTAAACATGATTAAGACAAGAGGCCCATGGGCCTTATAGGTCACCTGAGTATTGTGCAACAACTTTCAAACAATTGAATTTGGTTCGTGTTTTAAACCAGAGGCCATGAAATTCGCAATTCACAATTTTGAAAGAGGTACCATTGCTTCTAATAATTATAGACTTAGCATGCTTACTCTATTTACTTAATACCCAGAGGTAGATCAGAGTAACATTAAGAGAAAATGCACTTCCCCTTTATAACCGGTTGTGCACCTCATCCCAAAGGAACCACTGATCCTGGGGCCACATATTTCAAAATTTTGCAAATTTTATCATAAAATCGTTGATTAACACCAAAGAGCAGATTTCAAAGCATTAATTTATTTTCAGACTTTGTACTCCCCCCCCTCACCCCCGACCCAGGGAAGGGGCGGGGGGCATAAAAAATAACCATTTTGCTAGGTGCACCTTTCTTCATCATGAATATATATATATTTGGATCATTGGCATAAAACCCAGGAGCAAAGGAAAGATTTTCAAAGAATTAATGTATTTTCACTATGTAATCAATAGAGCCCCGCCCTAACACCAGAACCCATGACCCTCGGGCCATAAAATTCACAATTTTGGAAGAGGCACTCTTGCTTATCATAATTATGTACTAAGTTTGTTAAATACTCAGGAGCACAGAAGAAGATTTTAAAAGAATTAATGCATTTTCACTATATGATCAATAGAGCCCAGTCCTAACACCAAAACCCCTGCCCCTGGGACCATAAAATTCAAAATTTTGGAAGAGGCACTCTTGATCAACATAACTATTTACTTACATAGTTTATTTAATACCCAGAAGCATAGAAGAAGATTTTCAGAGAATTAATGCATTTAATTTCACTATATGATCAATAGAGCCCTGCCCTAACACCAAAACCCCTGACCCTGGGGCCATAAAATTCAAAATTTTGGATGAGGCACTCTTGATCAACATAACTATTTACTTACATAGTTTATTTAATACCCAGAAGCAGAGAAGAAGATTTTCAAAAAATTACTGCATTTTCACTATATGATAAATAGAGCCCTGCCCTAACACCAGAACCCCTGACCCTGGGGCCATAAAATTCAAAATTTTGAAAGAGGCACTCTTGATCAACATAACTGTTTACTTACATAGTTTATTTAATACCCAGAAGCAGAGAAGAAGATTTTCAAAGAATTAATGCATTTTCACTATATGATAAATAGAGCCCTGCCCTAACACCAGAACCCCTGACCCTGGGGCCATAAAATTCAAAATTTTATAGGAAGCACTCTTGCTCATCATAACTATGTACACTGTACTTAGATAGTTTATTTAATACCCAGAAGTAGAGAAGAAGATTTTCAAAGAATAAATGCATTTTCACTATATAATCAATAGGGCCCCATCCTAACACCAGAATCCCTGACCCTGGGGCCACAAAATTCACAATTTTGGAAGAGGCGCTCTTGCTCATCATAACTATGTGCTTAGTTAGTTTATTTAATAGCCATTCTCTGTAACCACTTAAACTTCGTTGCCACGCATGGTCACCGATTTTGATGAAACTTCACCCATGCTTAGTACTTGACACCAGAAACAAGTATCAAACAAAATTTCGTTGCTACGTGTCTTTGCTATGGCAACAGCCGGAAAAGTTTGAAAAATCGAGATTTTCAGCCACTTTAAATCTTGACTGTGGCTTAATAAAAACTAGAAAAAGCAAACAAACCATTCTCACAAAAACATGACACCTTGATGTCACTTATACTGTAAAGAAACTGTTTAGAATATATCTCTAAGTAAGTGGTAACCAAGGGTACATTTGGAATACATTTAAAATGCTGAAATATGCTGAAAAACGCTCAGTATTCACTATTGGTAGGTGTTACATGCTCAAACTCAATCAACGACTTAAGAAAAACAATGAAAATGTTTGACCTTAAGTATATAAGTATAAGCAATATTATTCTATAAATAACTTTAATGGTTGCCATGGTAACACAGTGTAACCATGCAAAACCAGTAACTAAGATTGGGTTAATGCTACTGTCTTGAGGAAAAACATGAAAATTCAAGACTGGCAAATATGCATCCTTATGACCTTGCAACACCAAAACCATAAGAAAAATTGGGTATAATTGCTACTTTGTAGTGTTACCATGGAAACAAAGTACCAGTGCTTAAAAGTGAATTATTTTCCGCTGCGTTAAGAATTAAATTGCCATTCAATCAAGAAACAAATTAAAGAACTCATCTTGAATAGTACTTATCTGTCAGAACTGAAGTTGAATATCATATATTGATAAAATTTGATGAATAAAACAACACTGTTGCTATGGTTACCAAGAAGGGAAAATCTTCGATTTTGTGAACTTTATATCAATATTAAACACTGTGTGCCAACTTCTTGCATCCACTTAGAGATTGGATGATAGTCAAATTTAAAAGTCAAGTTAGCTGTTAATAAGTATCAATCATAAAAGTTTTGGGAATCTACATTTAAGGGTACGTATCCAAGGAAACAAAATATTTTTCAGGTTTTTAAGCATATATTTTCTGCTTATTTCCATAGCAACGCTCTATTTAAAGAATCTAATCTGAATTTTTTCAAATGGGAAAATTTGGAGCACACCAACATCTTATAAAATTGATCATTAGTTATGAGGAAATGTGCTTTTTTCAAAGATAGGATCAGATTTAAACATACATAGTGTTACTTTGAAGGCTCTCTGTGGTATAAAAACCTTGGCAACCATTGCCAACCAAAATGAAATATCATATTTTTTTCTTGGTATGTGTTTCAAGGCTCTTTTTTCTATTATTTGGTCACATTTTATCCTATAATTGCTTTTTATTTTTACGTGTATGACTTAATAAAATTCAATGAATATTTTTTTTACTTTTAAATACTTTGTTACCATAGTAACGTATGTAATAGTTGATTTACCAAACATGTTTATCATGCATTTGAGACATCTGACCTTCAACTTTTGGAAACAGTCATTGATAATTGTTTGCTTTGCCGCAAATGTTAACGATAGGGCCCTAAACATGTTAAAAAATGCCATTTTTCGAACTTTAAGACATGTTGCCATGGTAACTATAAAACATAGCAACCAATTTTTGCCTGATTTCAGTTTAGGGTATCAATGAATTTTATTATAGAGAGTTTGGAGAAATTCTGAGATTATGCGTGCCACAGCTCCTATATAAAATTTCAAATCATTACAGAGAATGGCTCTTAATACCCAGATGTAGAGAAGAAGATTTTCAAAGAATAAATGCATTTTCACTATATAACCAATAGAGCCCCGCCCTAACACCAGAACCCCTGACCCTGGGGTCATAAAATTCACAATTTTGGAAGAGGCACTCTTGCTCAGCATAACTATGTGCTTAGTTAGTTTATTTAATACCAAGAAGTAGAGAAGAAGATTTTCAAAGAATTAATGCATTTTCACTATATAACCAATAGAGCCCCGCCCTAATACCAGAACCCCTAACCCTGGGGTCATAAAATTCACATTTTGGAAGAGGCACTCTTGCTCATCATAACTATGTGCTTGGTTAGTTTATTTAATACCCAGGAGCAGAGTAGAAGATTTTCAAAGAAATCATGCATTTTCACTATATAATCTATATAGCCCCACCCTAGCACTAGAACCCCTGATCCTGGGGCCATGAATTTCACAATTTACACAATTTAAGTAGAGGACTCAGTGCTCATTACATTCATGCCAACAGTTTCCCTGCTTGATATCCAGGAGTAAAGAAGAAGATTTTTAAAGATTGCAATAATTTTAGTGGTTTTGGCCCCACCCCTCAGGCCCCGGGGGGCGGGGACCATAAATTTCACAATTTTTGTTCCCCTTCACCCATAGATGCTGTATACCAAATTTGGTTGAAATTGGTTCAGTGGTTTCAGAGAAGAAGCTGAAAATGTTCAAATGTTAACACACGACACACGACGCACGACACACGACGACGGACGAAAACGGATAGCAATAGGTCACCTGAGTTTACTCAGGTGACCTAATAAAAACCGATTAAAATTAAAATTTAATTTATAAGTCCTACGATGCAGGATCCTTTATTTGAGGGAAAAATATTAAATCCATACAACATAGAAATGTTTACTTGTGATTAACCCTGCACTTCTTCAAAAGAAGTTTTTAAAAATAAAATCTGTATTTATTTTCTTTTTAAATATTGTTCCCTTTAGTGTCTCCAAATCCCAAATTGAGAGACCATTATTTAAACACAAATCTGCTTAACATAACGATGGCTACATATCAGTATTACTAATCTGCTTTATTTTGAGAGCATTTTATAACATTTTTTTACATCTTCCTATTGAGAAATTGATCAATTCAACATTTATCTGCACTTTCTGAAAATTACTTACATTTTTTATATCCCTAACATGACCCTTCTGTACTTGAGAAAAGATATGTTTTAAATTTTCTGCTATATATTCCAGAGTAAAATTTTGATCCTCTATTGTGGTCCCTCTGTGGGGTAAGCTTTGAATGATCTTGAATCTAGACAAAGTCAGGAAGTGTCACATACATTTCACTTTTTTTTTAATGACAACAAATTTTTGCTATTGCTTTAATATCCTTCCTTGAAAGAGGGTGTGGCCCCTCATTTGAACAATTTGATTCCCCTTCATAAAGGTTGCTTGTGCCATGTTTGGCTGAAATTGTTCTTTAGAAGAAGTTAACAATATGAAAAGTGTACATATTACAGTCAATCAACAATTGAGAAACGCTGGACACTCTTCAATACAAAATATTCTCTCAAGTTTTTAGCTCAGGTGATCTTAAAAGTAAACCATTTCTTACCTCTGGTAGAAAATTATGCCTCTGAATGACTTGATACAGCATTTCGTGGGTTTTAATGGCGGGACTGATGTCCCCTTTTAACACCTGTAATCCCGGCCAGAAAGCGAGGAGAGCGTCCATGAAATGTCGGGCTGATGATGTGGGTTTATGCATGTGAACGTCCACCAACATCGGCCCTTTACTCATGTACTTCATAATGGAATTATAATGCTGTAACATATAGAATTAATTAAACATGTATTATGTCAATGGGGACAAACCTTGGACACATTCATTTTTAAAACTAGAAATATGTGTGTAGGAAATGAATCCCCATCCAATAGTATATTGTATAGCAACAGATAAGAAATGTACCAAATGGTGAATACGATTAAAACAGTGACACTCTTTTAACTTATGGGCTGTAGCATACGATACTTAAATTTAAATCCCTGAGAGAGAAAAATAACAAAGATAGCTGTGGCATGAATGTTGCTCTACAAGATTTGAGTTTTGCTTGAAATATTACAGAAATCAATATCCAGTATGTGTACTCAGGACAGCCTGTAAACTCACCCTATCAAATCTGTACAAGTACTTCTCATCTCCCAGTAAAACATATGCTTTCAGTACATATTCATAATAGGAGTCAGTGCCAGCTCCCACACCCGCCTCTGTCAAAGAGAGATAACTCCTGTTACATCACCATTATCAAGTGGAAAATGTAATACATTTAACAGGGCTGAAATACACAAATATAAATAATACCTTAAAGTTATTGTGTTAATCCTATACCCACCCCTCCTTATCCAGTCCCCACTGTGGACATTGATGACTGTTCCCAAAAGGTCACTGGAACTGTGCCTCTGCTGCCATAAATAGTCCATCACTTTATGGGCCTTCTCCTGGAACAAAATATAGTGTATATTATCAATGTAACCACAGTTTATGTGTGCGCTTTCTGTAATACAGAGAGTCATTTCAGCTTAATGTAACTATATATTTCTGTGCAATTTTTAACACTGTCAAATAATGATGATTTTTGAAGAAATAAGCCATCGCGTCTAAGTTAGCTTTTCTGACTTAAAAGTTTTCAGCTATACTGGTTTGTCTGCTTGTGTGGTCTGTAAACTCCTTTTTTCAACTTTTTCAGAATTAAAAAAAAATTATATACGCTGGGCAAAAAAACTTGGGTAAAGGGGATTCAAATTTGTTCAGATAAAAAGCCATATCTCATGTTAAAGGGAAATAACAGACAAACCTATGTAAAAATGTTGTGGATCATTTAAAAATATTCTTAAGAACAAGTGGAACATAGAATACAAAATTGACAAAAAAGCTTTTTCTACTGAGTAAAAGACTCAAATATGTTTGTTCTTATAAATATGTTTAACATGAAATAAACATTTAGACTAGCTTGATACCGACCTCAAACACCGGGTCTCCCGTAAGGCGACTTAATGCCGCAAATTCTAAAATCATGGTACCAGCACAAGCTGTACAAGTGTCCTTATGTCTCTGTGCTAAATTATCTTTCTCCATACCATATTTTAAATTAATCTGAAAATGCAAATCATTGGTCTTTGAAAATAAATATATATCATTATGACAGTAACTTGATCCAAAGAGCTGGAGCACATCAAACTGACAAGCAATGATCATTATATTGTACATATGTACATGTATATACTATATTGATAAATTCATTATACATGTAATCCATCTATCACTAGCTTATTAAAATATTATACAAGATTTATTTCTTTGGATCAATTCTATAATAAATATTATATTTTGTGGATCTGACAGTTCCTCAAAACACTTTAGGCGGAAACCAACAAACTTGGGATATACATATATAGAATACAATCCAAGCGACTACATATCCTGGTTTCTGGAAACAGTGTATGCAGTTATAATACAAACTTTGGGATATTAAATATCAGTTACACTTTAATACTACATACCCTGGGATAAGGAATACCAGTGGTTGTGTTCAGTGCTGGTAGGAGGCGGTATCCCACTTCTTTAGCCATCACTAGCAGCTCACCATTATACCATTCCATGGCGCGCCGCTTTCTCTTAAAATAAGCTGCCATCACATGGCCTCCTAACAAACCCCTTTAACACAAAACACCAGTTTTTAAGGGATATTCTCCAATGTTTAAGTATACACATTTTAAAATTATCTACTTAATTTCAAACTAAATATTGAATTCTTCCATTTCAAAATATTTGACACATTATATGAAAACCTTTGCAAGTTCATGTAACATCTGAATTAATTCTTTTTGGGGGAAGGAATGAAGAGACTTTACCTCAGATATTTCAAGTTTAGCATAAATTGATTTATATCCAGTAAATGCAACTCAACCCTGTATGCATTTTGCTAAAAATGTGTAGATATAAATATAATCAACACAAGCTTCTAAAGCTCACAAGCAAAATTAAATACAATCCTATAGTGAGTAGAACTTACCCCAGAACTCGGATATTAGTTTCAAACACTGACACAATAATATCACTGTCAAATCTGGCATAATCAATGACTAACTTAACAGCAGTCTCAAATTTCTCCACTTGACCCAGAACCTGAAAAGTTAAAACAAACATAAATGCCTACAAGACTGATATTCTAATGCAATCAGGATTCATCATGACAGAAAAACTCCTCTGAGAAAATAAAATTCTATATTTGTAAAAGGTTTATCTTTAAAATAAAGTTTGTTTGCCTTCACCCAGCTCAGGATAAAAAAATTGGAGTGGTAGGTAATGAAGAAAATTTTCTCCAGTAAATTTCAACACAGTCTTGTTGACAGGATGAGAGAAATCAGGAATAAAAAAAACAAATCCTTTCCTGAAGGTTAAAATAAGTTTTGAATTGGGCCATTTTTAGTCAGTTGATCTAGAGAAGATGAATATATATTATTATATGGCCTGAGTAATAATAAATTTCAAGAGAGATATAAAAAATAATCTTCATACTAGATTTCACAAAATGTGATTTTTTAAAATAGAGTTTTGAAAACGACTTACGGTAATTTTTTTTAATAAAATAAAAAAACAAAACTGTAAATAATTTGTCTTCACATTTTTCATTTACTTAGATGTAGAAAATTCAATAATATGTAAGTCTAGAAAACTTTATGAATTGTACGAATTTCACCAGGTCCAAATTAATATTTTTCTAGAAATAAAGAATGGATGATGTGTACGCAGTTGTAATACTATGCAGGAGAGTACTTTGTTTACTAGTGTGATTAACAATTAAATATTTACATTAAATTTTCCAAATGCTTCATTAATTTTAGTAAAAAAAAAGTTCATATCACTTTCTTCAGTTTGATACAGAATATTTTGTGTTTTGATCAAAACAATTTCTCTGCACTCTTTCATATAGCTTAGATTTAATTCATGTGTTCTCCCCAAGGCTTCTGTTTTGCTCAACTGACAGTAAACAAATAGATGGGGTCACATGACCCCATCTAAAAATTACATAAACACAAGAAAAACAGTTCAAATTCATTATTTCCAACCTCAGTAGTCCTTATATTTTTTTTTTCCTGTTTTCATCGCCTTTTTTACTTTACCTTACTCGTAATATTCAACAATAACAACAAGTAAAAAAGTAGTAATTATTTTTTTTTACTTACAGCTAATGTATCCAGGGTATCGATTAATGTTAAAGTAAAACTGAAACAAAAAAATTCAAAAGCAAATGAGCTTAACACACGATCAATTTTAAATTAAAAATATACTAACATATCATTGCATAAATGTGCCAAAGTCATTGGACAAAATGATCGAAAATGTAGTCTTCTCATAAAATATGCCATGTAACATAATTAGCATTTTGACAATAAAAAAATAAAATTTTAGACTTTGAGAATATTGATAATAGTACATTGATAGTAGTACAAGTAAATGATCTTACTTTCCGAGGGTATCGTCAACATCACCCCTACTTGGCTCTGTACCTCTATACCGCCCCTTACAGCTCAAGGGCATCAGTTCATCAGCAGGAAAGGCATATTTCTGAAAAAATAAGAATCTCAATTATTATCTTCCTCAAGCTTAGAGCATGGAATATATGCATCATTTACAAACTCACAATTTATATTTAAGTTCTGCAAAATATAATAAGTAAAAATTACCATGTATGATCCATATGCATGATTAAACATTTCTTCAACAGTTTCCCTAGGAATAAAAATAAAATAAAATCACTTTGTCAATTAATATAACAAAGGCATTGATCACAAAAATTATCTTCTATTGACCCTAATTATCATGATTATGTGTACACTTCTCTATAAATTTGCTCTCAAGTCAACTGTGTGCATTACCTGCAGTCTGTAAAAATCAAAATTTCTACTAAATAAAATACTGTAAATGCATTACATTTGGCAGTGTATTCTTTTTAGCTTTTTGGTGGAAAGAAACTTCCGCTAATTTAAGAACATTAAGAAATGCGCTAAATCAAATCTACGCTAACTTGTTCAAAAATCAATTTCTGCCAAATATTGTACACGCTAAATATTATAATACATTTACGGTAGATCACAAAATTTTCACAACATCTTATTTTCGCAAGATAGTCATGAACTCTTTATAAGCTTGAGTAAATTTTCACAAATTGTGGTAAGTGCACTCTAATTCTTAAGGAAAACTTATATAGGCAAGAATAAAATTTTCACGACCAAACTGTCTAGCATAATTATACAAAAATAAAGTTCTCACAAAAATAGTGATTTACAGTATTCAGCAAAGCTATGTAATGTAGATTGAATGAGCTGTATATCCCCAAAAAGCTTTTCCAAATAGCTTCATTTAGCAATTTATCATACGTTTTATAAATGTACAGCGAATGTAAAAAAGAGTGACAAAGTGACACCTTTGTGCAATGATAGTTTTCAACACGTTCAACTTTGTATTGTTCCGAAAACAATCAATCAACGCATGAGAAAAATGTTAATCAAATTGCACCTCCTCCATATACTTTGCACTCAAAAGTTTTTAAACTTTTTGGGTTAGCTAAGAATTGAAAAAGTTGAAAGGGAGTTTGTAATTCCTTCTCTTACAGGGGTGGAGGGAGAATCCCAGAATGAATTGGGGGAGGGGGGTTATGTCATTGTAGGTGGGGGAATTCTCCACTTGGTCTCCTCTTACGTCCTTTAGCTTGGGTAAACCATTTACAGCTCTTGATGATGTTAGAGCACTAGACTGACATGCCAAAAGTTACAGTTCAAATCCACTCAGAGGCAAGAACTATTAAATGGCTTTATCATGTTTATCAAGACAATTTGAACAGCTGCTAAAAATCTATATAGCTATTTCAAGCTATTAGCAATATCTTGATAAAGCTATATAGCTATATAAAGCAATATATTGCTTAATGTAGAGATTGTGCTGGACCAGACCTATACAGCGAACTCAAAAGATTGTGAGGAACCTGTAAAATTTAAGTGGATGTGATACGTCACCGATAGTACAGCCAATATTCTTATCTTTTGTTTAATTTTTTTGGTTAAAGAAATGCCATGAATGTTTTCATATTCAAAAAATCTTTCAATTCAAAAGACATAAGTTAGATTAGGGGCCTATCAGTTAGCATACGTATTGACATACTCATGAAAACAAATGGATTATTTTGTAAACAACGTATATCCTGTTATGTAAACATTTAAAATCTCACTTCATTTCTCTTTTTTGCGAGTCTGACATGCTGTGTACAGCAGAATCTTCATATACAAGAATGACCATCGTGATTCCTACAAGTTTACCAGTCCATTTGTTCGTCATTTTACTCCCAGCTACAATTTTCTCTGTCGTGTTGTCATTACTGCTCGGACTAAATACCCAAAACGAACTTCCCTTACTAAAGGGACGGTCTTACCATATTAACAAAATTATTAGCAAATATAATTTTAATCACAAACACTGTATAATTTTTTATTAATAAATTATGTCATTAAAAATATAGAAATTCCGATAAATAATTGCTATTTTTTTAAAAAATAGAGAAAATTTGGTAATTCAAAGAAGATTTTCGAGCCCGATTCAAAATGAAATACATGGGCATGCTAATCACCAACAAAACTGTAAACTAATGATACCGAAGTACGTATTGTTATACAAAATACAATGCATGTAGGCCTGTATGGAAAGCATTGGGAGTCGTGATACTTTTTTTCAAATATTGTAATTTATATCAGGAAAACTGCATATCACTCTCTAAATGTAATTAATAAAATAACTTGACTAGAACTGAAAAAAATATCACCGATAAGTTAATTACTGGTTTATGAAAAGAGAAAAGTTTGTCTGTTTAGTACTCTTCCAGTAATTTCCTATATAATTAGAAGTTTTGAAATTGAATTTCAAAACACGTTATGTTAATTAGGATGAGAATTTTATTTAAACGAGGATTATATTTATTAAGAAAGGGGGAAAAGACAGTAAATCGATCGCCCTTTCAATCAGGAAATTTAAGAATCTGTAATACGCGTGATATGAAATATTGACGGAAGACGACTATTAATTCACAAAAATACTTTTAAAAATATATTTATTTATCCAATATGAAACTACTTTGAGCAATGGGCTCACCAAATGATACCCCCACATCCCTTATGGCTATATATAATGGCTAATTCGATGTTTTGCTCTGGGAGACCTAAAATCGGTGTCAGAACAAAAAGTAAAATAAGAGTTGCACAAAGACATTATGTAATAAAGAATCTGTGAAAGTATCATTAAATTTTATTCAGTGGTACAGGAAGAGCAGTGGATAAGAGATTGGTACCATTCAATATTAAAGAAACAATATCCATGTCCATGTTCGTTTTTTTGTTGCTATGGAAAACCCGAAATATTTTACCGATCAAAAAGTAAAATAGAAGGTGCACAATTGCACTACATGTAACAAAGATTCTGAGAAAGTTTCATTTAATTTCAATAAGTTGTTTAAGAGAAATTGCGGATAAGAGATGTGTACACCAAAGTGTGAACAGACGGACGTACAGACAGACGGACGGACATACACACATCCGGAGCAAACATGCATTAGCTTCCAGAGGGCGGGACTATCTGCGAACTGCGCCCTCCCTGGGTACTCATCAGACCCTCTTGCGTGGTCATTTCCCACAACACGAATGTCCCAGTCCCCCTCCCCAATCCACAGGAACTGAACTCACACTCGCCCGGCACCCTCAAAACGGCAAAGTAATAATTATTTATATATATATATATACTGTGGTTTTATTATTACGGTATATGATTTTTTAAATAAATTATTATTACACGCTGGGAGCAAGTCCCTGTGTATCTATAGCGGATAATCTGCTAAACAACAAAGGCAACTATAAACGTAGAACCATTTCCAGCTTAGTTTGGACTTTAATTATAAGGCGTGGCATTCGCGGCACTACGTAATTAGCGTCTGTCAAATGGCGAGTAGATTCTCATTGGTTAGGAAATTAATAACATCAGGAACGTTGTTGACAACGATGGGACCACTTTAAAAAGCTACACCTTTTTGTCGGACGAGACAACGTTATTGGTTATTCGATACACTAATTGGCATTTGCCCGCGACAGTGAAGGAAAGCTGTGTAAATTTCAGAAGCTAAAATTTTATATAACGTCGAGAATGCCACGCCTTACTGAAAGTCCAAATTAACCTGGAAATGGTTCTATATGTTACCAAACGGGCACATATAGCATCAAATGGGAGGAGGGAGGAGGTGACCTCCCCCCCCCTACTTTTTTCCAGCCTTATCTATAGAAGAATTTCATCGAAAGACTTAAGTCCGCGGTTGATCCCCACTTTTGGTCGCAGTTTTGTCAAATTAGAGTATTATAAGGGTAATGCAGTGTTTGACTAAAAATTTTGGTACTAAAAAAAGTTGGAGGGAAAAGGAAGAGAGTCCAAATTTTTTGTTGTGTTTTCAGTGTAGTGAAATACTATAATGATAATCCATATTCCAGATTGATCTCCCTCCAAATCTGAAAATCTTCCCTGTATCCTTTTAAGTTGTTAAATTATATGTAAACGTACGCTAACAACTATACCCCCCCCCCCTTTTTGAAAAAAATTCTGTTATGCATCCTAAGAGTAGATAGTTACACTGTGTTCATAATACAATTTATATATGTTTGTTTAGGTCTGTTTATTGTTATTTATAACTATGATTTAGGACATACAATGTAGTTTATCTTTATGCTTCACTGCGGGTCCAAATTGGTTGAATAAATGTTCTATTCTATATAATAATTCTAATCTATACTTATAATTTAAGTTAAGTGGTGGTGGGACAGAGAAAACACTAATCTCTGTGATAAAATAATACGCAATTTATTAGTGTCCGCAATATTACAATATACAATAATGACGGAGCTGACAGGGACACGTCTGTTATCTCAGCAGAATAACAGGAAAGCAGGTGCGCCGTATTTATATACCCCCTGATCGGAGGTAGCAAGGCAGTCCGTGCCCAGTCCTCCTGGAGCACTACACTACACGATAACCGTGTCGCACTCCTCTGGAATTTACCTGTTGTCATACCTTGATCACGTGACTCATTCTTACCTGCGAAAAAATGGTGGTCAACTGTTTGAATTTACAAACGATCGGGAAGATGGCCAACCTTTGGGGTCTTATTGTTTTATTGATAGGAATTTCTACTACATTTGGTAAGTATGGAACAATGGAATGGATTTTAATTAAATTGATTTCAGGAATCTTTATAACCGTATTGGGTTCAGGTATACGCCTGGTAAACAGTGGTGGATCGGAAGTGTAAACAAAGTTACAAAATCGTGGGAACGGCTCGTTTGTGTGAAAAAGGAAAATTTTTTGGAGCAAGTTACAATTTTGAAAATTGTTTATTTAAATATATTATGTGATTTCTCTCCACATTAAACAAGTTAAAATTTCGGCAATTAATGAATTGTAAAGGTTGGAAAATTAATAGCATTGCTGTATCGGTATCTGATGGCAGATTTATTAAACACAATATGGTTACTATACTTAATTGTTTTTAAAGATTGGGCACATAAAAACATGGTATATAAATAGGCAAAATCTTAACAGGTGAATCAGAGACAAATATAATACATTGGTAAAGGGGGATAAATCTGTAGGAGGAAAGACTCTGACAAATAGATATTGATTTGTATCAGAGACAGCAAATAACTGCTTCTCATACATGTCATATTATATTGTTCTTTTTTGAGGATTAAATAGGAAGAATAAAGGGAATGCATAAGCTGTTGGTAAACATTATATAAATCATGTATAGATATAGACTATCTCCTGATTTATTACTGCGTTTGAGATTGGGAAATTGTCCATGTTTTATTAGGAGCCTCAGGAGGTACATGTTATGTATATATATTTAAATTGCTGTGTTAAGATCAGTAAAAAATTAACTTTTATTATGAGGTAGCATAATTTAATTTAACAATCTATTACTTTAAAGGACTTTTATTTTTTCAAAGCAATGTATAAATCCAACATGTGCATGCAGTTTACCATATTTGTGTGCATCTTTTTCTCTCTATATTGGATATGGTACATGTATTCCATAAAATGCTTTCTGTCTTCATTAATTTAACCTGCATACTTAGTGTAAATGATACTTGTATATTAAGAAATTTTTTAAATTAAACAGAAATCCATTATCTTTTTTGAATTGAACATATTTATTGACAAAGTCAAAAGGATCAGACACAAGTTCAGAAACTTAGATAGTCTTCTCCTGATATAACATTTTGTGAAATTGCCAAAGTGAAACAAATATATATACATATGGTCTACTATATACATTGTATACATTGTAGCAATAGAAAGGAATAAATTCTTTAAATATACAAATATCATTTGAGATGGTGAGAAAAAAAAAAAAGAAAGTAAACTTATTTTGAAAAACGACCACATTCATTTAAGAAAGTTTGAATAGTCTTGAAAAGTTCAGTATTTTGTTCAAAAGTTAGAGAATCATCGCCCCATAGCATTAAATGTACATCTATAATATGTAAATAATTCAATGACAATAGCTTATTCATTAAAGAATTTCTTGCTTTTACATAATATTTACAAACAAAAAACAGATGATATGTATCTTCTAGTAGTCCACAAGAACAATTAGGACTGGTTATTAGGTTACATCGATATAAATCAGACTTTAAAATACAATTGTGTCTCAATCTTGTATGAATTATGTTCAAGAACCTTTTTCCATAAGAAAAATATTTCTGAGGTTTTACAGTATTACTTTGCAGATATTTTTTGAAAATTTCAATAGAAGTTGCCTCCCTTGTCTTTAGACTAAGGGAATTCCACTTTCTAACAGTATCGGGAATAAATGATTTATTGTAGAGTTCTAATCTGTATTTTGGCAAAGAATAATTTAAAAAATTCCGGGTAGTGTATCCTGAAATATTGCCTCTTGTATCAGGTACTAAGTTTTGCAAGTAAATAGGGACTAATTTATTGTGCATTTTATACATTGTTATTAGTTTTGCCCTATTTCTTCTATATTACAATGGTTCCCAGCCTGTTTCCAAATATAATGAATTTCTTGAAGCAATAATTGTAAGCCCAGTAACTATTCTTGCAGCATATAATTGTACTTTTTCAAGATTCTCAATGTCTGTTTTTGTGCATCCAGACCAAACTTCAACAGCATATTCAAGTTGTGGTCTAATAAAAGATATATACATCTGGGATAGAATATCTCTTGACACAGTAAATTTTAATTTTTTAAGAAGCCCTAGTTTTTTGTATGCTTTCTTTATAATGGTATCAATATGATCAGACCATCCTAAGTTAGACGACAGAA